CTTGGTTTGCTTGACTTTTTCTCTACCCTTAAACAATTCAACCAAAAGCCCTCAATATTCAAATATACTTAAAATCTCACAAAACTTCACATCCAAAGCAAGAATCCTTACCTTAGGATGCCTTAGATTGATTTTCTACCCTAAATCACTCTAAAAGCCCTCTAAAACTCGTTTAACAAATGAAAGAGAAATTGAGAGGAAGTGAGAAAAGGAGAGTGGCGGTGGAGAAGAAGAATGAAGGGTTTGCAATGACTTAATTCCTTTTAATACAATTTATACACAAGCATTCCCATTTTGCCCTTACTCTTCCTTAGCAATTCCATCTATATCCTTTGATTCATTACAAACACACCCCCATATTAACATATTCTCCATTTAAATTCCTTACATATTACTCCCCACTTTTCCTACTAATTAGGGGTAGAATGGTCAAATTCCCCTTAGGGAAGAAAATATCTAAAACTTAACAAACATTTTGGTCGGCACATCGCCGAGGCGAAGAAGCTTCTGTCGCCGCGGCGAAGCTGTCCAGCAGCTTCCCTGTGGGTTTCAACATCTCTTCGCCTCGACGAAGATTCTTCTTCGCCCCGGTAAAGCCTGGAACACTAAACTTCTTTTATTTTCAACCCATTTCAAGGCAAGTATTCAACATACCACTCAACCACTCAATCAAAGGCCAACCAAACAATAATACTAATAAACCGACTCAAAGTAAGAGCAAAAGAAGAAGCATTAACTACGTACCTCAAGTGGGGTGTTACAGGGTACCCAAGGTTTGGTTCCAGTTCCTACCCAGAATCAACCGTCAACGGGTAGGTTCTAGTTCCAAATTTTTGGAATCGTTATTGTGCGGTTCTGGTTCCTATAGTTAGGAACCGGAACTGGAACCGGAACCAGAACCAGGAACCAGGAACCGAGACTAATATAAAATAAAATTAAAGATTAGGAGGGTAAATAAAAACTTTTGTAGAAAAAATAATGTGAATACATTTATATTTATATTTTATAACATTTAAAATAAGTTGGTTTGACTTTTGAGAATCTACCTTTACAAAGTAATGGAGTTTGTAATTTTGAATTTATAATTTGTAATCTTATTTTTGGTAACAAGTGTCCCGTGGGGGGGTATTTGTAAAATTTTAAGGATTTTTTTGCCATTTTAAAAACTTTTGGGGGGTCATTAGAATTTTGTAGGGTACCCAGAACCGAAACCGGAACCGTTGTTACAGGTTCTGGTTCTAGGTACCTAGGAATTGGAACCGTCGGTTCCAGTTCTGGTTCCAAATTTCAAGGAACCGTCGATTCTGGTTCCGATTCCTTTAAAAAATGCAGGGTACCCAGAACCGAACATCTCTAATAATAACCACTCAACTTAACTTTTTCAAAAATCATACTCAAAATAATAAAACAAACACACCCAACTATTTTTTTTTTTTAAAATACATTTTGTTTATGAGATTTGGTCTATAAGGTCCTGAATAATTTGAAAGTACACTTAAGGTTCGTATCAGTCAACTTGATTATCCTCAGCCAAAGTTAACAATGGCAAAAATAGCTTGAATGCTTTACACTACCAAGTCCAATATGGTCATCGAGTTTATTATGGTTTAACATAGTCTAGTGTTATTCGATAGAGATCGTATCCTTCGTATTTTTATTAAGGATACTCTCGGTAAGCTACTTAATTTTACAATTAGTTTTGTCTTTAAATAAAACCTTCACATTATGAGAAACCAAGATTATTGATGTGGTTATATATGTTCAAACCTTTAAAAATTATTCGAATATTTTCTTTAAAATCTAGGGTCTGTTTATTTTATTATTTTGGATAGGATTTTGGGAATAATATTGGATAGTTGAATAGGGGAGTATTACGAGGTCAAATTTAAAAATTTACAAAAAAAACCCCTAGGTTTGCTAATTTAACTAAACACCCAAATATATAAAAGTTTTGTAAAATGACAAAAACACCTCCACCCACCCACAGTGCCAGATTTCGGCTACCACCGCCGGAATCTGGCCAGAAAATGGCGTTACGACGCATATCGGTCGGATTTGGCCTTTTTCGGCTAGATCCACCACGGATCTGGCTGGAAAAGGTCAGATCTGGCTGTCGACGGCCGGAAAAGTCCAGATCTGGCCTTTTTCGGCTAGATCAATGAATTACCAGCTAGTTCTGGTCGTTTGTAGGCCGTTGTGACAGATTTCGGCTGCCATTGACGGTGGTTGCCGGAATCTGGCAAGTATGGGTAGATGGGGGTGTTTTTGTTAATTTTTAAATTTTTTTTTGGGGTATTGTGAAATCAATAAACTTAAGGGGTCTAAAAGTAATTAAAAAAATATACTAATATTTTTCAAATAACAAAATAAACAATATTTGGAGAATAAGATTGGGAATATAGGTAGAAATAATGTGCTGAACGGAGCCTAAAATATCCTTGATTTATTAATTTTTGTTTTCTTATAATTAACAAAATTGTCGGTTAATGGTCAGTGACTTTATTTATTTATATAATTCTATCAATTTTTAATACTACTTTCAGAAGGTTAGGGGTATTTTAGAATTTCACAAAAAAATTTAAACCGTTCATAATTGATAAAGATCTAAGTGTCATTTTCAGATTTAATTGGACGTGATTGTAGACGTTGAAAACCAAACGTGGTCAAATATGGTCGAAAAAGGTCATATCAGCTCATGACCGCCAGATCCAGCGGTCGTACGCCATTACGGTGACTGCTAGCCACCCTCTAGCGGTGGTGACCGATACTGACATTAATGGATAGGTAGGGGTGTTTTGTTAATTTTTAATGTTTATTGTAGGGGTGTTTAGCTAAATTAATAAACTAGGGGTTTTTGTTTATTTTCAAATCTTACCTCATAATAAATAGGGAGTGTTCAAAAGAACATGTTGGAACGGAACCAGAACGGCGGGTATGTAACAACTGCTGTAAACTAGTAAAATGCAGCTAATAATAATAGAAAATGGGCCCAAAACTTTTCTTTTTATTATATGTAATAAGTCTTTTATAACAAAGGCATTATTTACAAAATGCCATTTCAAAAGACAAAAACAGGGGAAACAGTGTAGCTATTTCTCATCGCTTGCCGACGTCCCTCCGAGCATCACACTAGATCTTGCATCCACGAAGGAAAATAACGGTGAGCACAAAATAATGCTCAGTAAAAACTCTATTTTCTATTCCCGTATTTATAACTCTTAATTCTTTCCTCACACTTTCTTTCTATGTTTTCTACTAAACGTCATGGCCTCATCTCACCGGAGGTACGGCGCGTAGCATTACACAACACTATCTCACTCTTCATGACTGTCGGATGAAGTTCACACAGCACCAACCCGCTCTTAGTGACTATGATGGGGACACAAAGCACCTACCCGATTTTCATAACTATCGGGTGGAGACCACAAAGCACCTACCCGTTCTCAGGACTTTTGGGTGACGATCACAAAGCATCAACGTTTCTAATGCCCTTCACATTCATTCTACTCTACACTCTCATTCTCTCTACCCTTAGAGTAGTTGCATTCACAAAGTTCTCTACTCATAGAGCAAGTGCATACGCAAAGTTTTCTACTCTTTCTTAAATCACTTCACAATGCACAATTAATGCAATGGATGGTTCATCTCCACTAATGCACTTATGAAATGCCAACATGCAATGTTGCAAGAATTAAGGTTCACTACTCATACTCAAACCTCTATTAGGCATTTCATCAAACAATTCAAGTGCATAACAAGACTCTACTATAACAATATTCTATGTCTTCTCTAACCATCAAAATGGGAGAAAACTCCCTCACATAGGCATAATTCTGCCTAGAATAATACTTCCAAAAAGGATTTCTAATATCCTTCAATTCCATCTCAAACTACATTTCCAACCCACATCTCATTCTTATAATTGAAGTGTATGAACAACCACAAAGCAATAATAATCTCCATTTAAAACTCAATAACATAGCATATAACAGTATATAACATACATACATAATTGTTATTAAATCTCTAATCAAGAAAATTCTCAAACTCACTTGGGTTGGGATTACTTACCTTATGATGGAGAGATCTCACTAGCACTTCCTTTCTCTAGGTTTGCTTGACTTTTTCTTACCCTTAAACAATTCAACCAAAAGCCCTCAATATTCAAAATACTTAAAATCTCACAAAACTTCATCCAAAGCAAGAATCCTTACCTTAGGATGCTTAGATTGATTTCTACCCCACAAGAGTCTGCTCAGCCCCTGGCAGCTTGCACTTGAGTTTCAATCCTTCATTCAGCCTCAAACCTTCTTTTACCTATTTCTCTTTCTTTAAGTCCATACTTGCTCGCCGTTATTATCAGTAAATCTTTATATAAAGATCTTGAATTCTTGTTACCGAAAATTTGATTAGATAACCCCCCATAATCAACCACAGACCAAATTACCTCTTTAGCCTAACAATGATCAACAATTCCAAGCCCCACAATAGGCATCCTCTAAATCCCAGCTAGCTCAATGCCCATCTAGCAAATTGCCAGTTATGTAATGATAATATAAAGACAATGCAAATCCCAACTTGAAGGGGATCCGTAAAGATTCCCTAAGCTTTGTCAACATATTAAGAACCACTCAGACATATGTATTCAACTATTTAGGAGAACCCTTTGTCAAAAGATTGAAGATGAAGGCACTCAATAATTCTGAAGGGCTCATCTTTGTAAATTAGGCTATGGGGCAAAATGCGGAAACCAAAGGAGCAAATTAATGTCACCAAAGTGATGATTTGGGAATGTTCGGATGGATGAAAAATAGGATGATAATAGATATATCCAAGATCACTCACATGTTTAAAAAGTGTTGAGACAACGCTACTTAAGGGCAATAAATGATGAAATTAGTTGGGATGATTCTGAAGTGATAACTGATAAAGTTGCATTCAAAACATTAGAAGAGAAAGGGAGAGTTAATTATGAAACATTCATCCATTCCAGAATGTCATAGCAGTCAGAAAAAGAAAATGTTTTAACTATGCTTTAAAATCCCAATGAAAAATAAAAATACTGACATATCAGAAATGAATCACAGCATCATCATCTGTCTCAAAAATGAAAAATTGCTTGTACAGAGATACAACAAAGCCTATATTAGGTTTGACAGAATAAAAATCTAGACAAGCTCAATATAAGCCATGGGTGCATTGTCTCCTCGCCTATTCAGCGTTCTAATAATTCTAGTATAACCACCATTACGTTCACCATACCTGTCTTGGACCTCCGCAAATAAGGCATGAACAATCTGCTTCTCATAAATAAACCCCAAAGCCTGCCTCCTCTTATGAAGAGAACCATCTTTTGCCAGTGTAATCATTTTATCAATATACTTCCTCATGGCACTGGCCCTAGCTCTAGTTGTTTTGATCCGTCCATACTTAAGGAGTTGAGTTGTGAGGCCACGCAGAAGCGCCTTTCGTTGGTCCGGCGGTCTATTGAGCTTCGGAACTCGCCTTCCATGCCTCATGGCAGAAATTCGACAACCGTTATCCACAATGGAGAAACACTGTCCAAAGCTAGTGCAGTCTGAAAAACAAAATTAAAAAAAAAAAAAAAAAAAAGAATTTCTCTGAATAATCGAAATAAAAATGATAAATGTCAAAATTTGAGAAGAAAGAAAGTTACCGGAGAAGCCAAGGGAGAGCAGAGGGTTGGCGGAAGCGAGGCCGGTTAAAGATGGGATGAGTTGTGGTTGATTGTTGAGGCTGAGAGTGAGACGACGCTGGTGGGAAGAAGAGGAGGAGGAAAATCGAATAGAAGAAGAAGAAGTGGAATTGAGTGAAGGAAGAGCTGAACTTAGAGATGCCATACTCCATTTGCTACTACTATCCGTTACGGCCGTTGCCGTTGCCATTGCCATCGCCATTGCTGTGAATTCACTGGAGTGAGTCTGGATAGTTGATGATGAGATAGACTGGATAAGACTTAAAATCACAGCTGCCAGATTATGGACTCACTCTTCCTCAAAGCCCATGCCATTTCTCTGTACATGATCCAGCCCAGATGTTTATCAACTTGGGCCTAGTATTTTAGATTTTAAATTTCAAGGGTTTATAACAATAACCCCCCTGAGGTATAATTAGATCACAAAGATCCCCATAGTTTTAGTAATAACAGAAATTCTCCTGCCTTTAAGTTTTTTGTATTAAAATAAATGGCATAAGGGTAATGTGATAAATATAAATAAACCCATCATGCTAAATTATTAGGGGAAATTTTGTTGGGTTAGAGTTAGATTAAGCGTAAGCCTCATGGGTTGAGAAAACCCCTTTAAAAAAAAAATAATGGCAATGTTTGGGGCATTATTTCTGCTTTATCCTACCCAAAATACATGTTTTTTTTCTTTATTCTGAAAATTTAATTATATTATATTCAACTATTTTAAACTCACTAGATTTGTTAATTTAACTAAACACCCCAAAAAAAGTTTAGGAATTGATAACAACACCCCCACCTACCCACATTTGCCAGATTCCGACCACCGCCGAGGGAAGGTAGCTAAAATATGGCGTAATGGCACACTACGGGTTGGATCTACCCGGTAGTGCGCTGATATAGCCTTTTCCAACCAGATCTACCATGGATTTGGCCGAAAAAGGCTAGAGCTAAGACCAAAGATCTGGTCGTTGACGGCCAGATCTTTGGCAATAACTGGTCGTCAACAACGGTCATATCTTTGGCCATTGTTGACAATCAAACGTGGTCAAATCTAGCCGAAAAAGGTCATATTGGCTCATGACCAGCCAGATCCAACCTGTCGTATGCTATTACGACGACTGCTAGCCACCTTCTAGCAGTGGTGACCAGCTACTGACATTTAATGGATGGGTGGGGGGTGTTTTGTTAATTTTTAATGTTTTATTGTAGGGGTGTTTAGCTAAATTAATAAAGTTAATGGGTGTTTTGTTTATTTTCAAATCCTACCTCATAATAACCAGGGGTGTTCAAAAGAACATGTTGGAACCGGAACCAGCGGGTACCCGAGGTTTGGTTCCTGTTCCTATCCAGAATCGACCGTCAACAGGTAGGTTTCGGTTCCAAATTTTTTGAACCGTTATTGTGCGGTTCTGGTTCCTATAGTTAGGAACCAGAACCAGGAACCAAGAACCGAGACTAATATAAAATAAAATTAAAGATTAGGGGGGTAAATAAAAACTTTTGTAGAAAAAATAATATGAATACATTTATATTTATATTTCATAACATTTAAAATAAGTTGGTTTGACTTTTGAGAATCTACCTTTACAAAGTAATAGAGTTTTTAATTTTGAATTTATAATTTGTAATCTTATTTTTAGTAACAAGTGCCCTGTGGGGGGGTATTTGTAAGTTTTTAAGGGTTTTTTTTATCATTTTAAAAACTTTTGGGGGGTCATGAATTTTATAGGGTACCCAGAACTGGAACCGGAATCGTTGTTACATGTTCTGGTTCTGGGTACCTAGGAAATGGAACCGTCGATTCTGGTTCCAATTCCTTCAAAAAATGCAGGGTACCCGGAACTGAACACCCCTAATAATAACCACCCAACTTAACTTTTTCAAAAATCATACTCAAAATAATAAAACAAACACACCCAACAATTTTTTTTTTTTAAAATACATTTTGTTCCTGAGATTTGATCTATAAGGTCCTGAATAATTTGAAAGTACACTTAAGGTTCGTATCAGTCAACTTGATTATCCTCAGCCAAAGTTAACAATGGCAAAAATAGCTTGAATGCTTTACACTACCAAGTCCAATATGGTCATCGAGTTTATTATGGTTTAACATAGTCTAGTGTTATTCGATAGAGATCGTATCCTTCGTATTTTTATTAAGGATACTCTCGGTAAGCTACTTAATTTTACAATTAGTTTTGTCTTTAAATAAAACCTTCACATTATGAGAAACTAAGATTATTGATGTGGTTATATATGTTCAAACCTTCAAAAATTATTCGAATATTTTCTTTAAAATCTAGGGTCTGTTTATTTTATTATTTTGGATAGGATTTTGGGAATAATATTGGATAGTTGAATAGGGGAGTATTACGAGGTCAAATTTAAAAATTTACAAAAAAACCCTAGGTTTGCTAATTTAACTAAACACCCCAATATATAAAAGTTTTGTAAAATGACAAAAACATTTCCACCCATCCACAGTGCCAGATTTCGGCTACCACTGTCGGAATCTGGCCAGAAAATGGCGTTACGACGTAGATCGGTCGGATCTGGCCTTTTCCGGCTAGATTGGTAAATTACCAGCTAGTTCCGGTCGTTTGTAGGCCATTGTGACAGATTCCGACTACCACTGACGGTGGTTGCTAGAATCTGGCAAGTATGGGCAGGTGAGGGTGTTTTTGTTAATTTTTAAACTTTTTTCTGGAGTTATTAATAAAATTAATAAACTTAAGGGGTCTAAAAGTAATTAAAAAATATACTAATATTTCTCAAATAACAAAACAAACAATATTTGGGGAATAAGATTGAGAATATGGGTATAAATAATGTGCCAAAAGGAGCCTAAAATATCCTTGATTTATTAATTTTTGTTTTCTTATAATTAACAAAATTGTCGGTTAATGGTCATTGACTTTATTTATTTATATAATTCTATCAATTTTTAATACTACTTTCAGAAGATTAGGGGTATTTTAGAATTTCACAAAAAAATTTAAACCGTTGATAATTGATAAAGACCTAAGTGTCATTTTCAGATTTAATTGGACGTGATTGTAGCTGAAACCAAATCTCAGGAACGAAAATGTATTTAACTCGTTGCTTTTGAAAAAAATTATCTTTGAGAGGTAAAGTAAAAAAAAAAAAAAAAAAAGAAGCAAAAAGCGAAGGGGAGTGGAGATCCACATACTGTTTAGTAAAACAAAGAGAGAGGGACTGGACTGGGTTTCACTCTCACTCACTCCAATCGCCACTGAGAAAAAAGGCAAAGGAAGACAGACGAGACGAGACGAGACGAGAAGAGAAGAGAGGTTGGATTATTTGTTATTCAAGTAATTCTAGTTATGGAGGTTTAACTAATATGTAATTTCCATTTTTCAGTTGTCCTTTTTTGTTTAGTATTTTAAAGAAGAAAGTGCTTGTACTGAAACAGCGAGGAAAAAAATAGCTTTGGCAGGGCGAAGAATGAAACTCAGCCTGAGCGCCATCAGGAACGTTACGCAAGTGGAAAATGGGCAACTGTGGTACTAGAGAGGAATCGGCCGTTGTTACCAATGCTCAAGGTCTTCAGATCTAACTTCTCTTTTTCATTTATTTGTTAATTTTAGGGTTTTATTTTTTAATCATTCGTTTTTGTGGTGTTCGACACTGTTACAGTTCAGCAGCTACATATTTTATCGTCTTTGCCTGTTAAAACCGAGAAGAAGCACAGTCGTTCTGTGTCAGATCTGAGTGATTCTTCTATTCCACGTAATTTAGAGGATTCTAGAAGCAATGCGGTGCTTTATACTCATGTAATTGCCTTCACTTTGTACGAGCTCGAGACTATCACTAAGAGTTTTCGCTCTGATTATATTCTTGGAGAAGGTGGTTTTGGAACTGTTTACAAAGGTTACATTGACGAGAATGTCAGGGTTGGTCTTAAATCTCTCCCTGTCGCTGTAAAGGTTCTCAATAAGGAGGGCCTTCAGGGCCACCGTGAATGGCTTGTATGTCTTTCTTTCTCTTTTTCGTTTCATTGTAATGTTGTTTTTTCAATTAATTAATTAATTGTTTTTCGCAGACGGAGGTCAACTTCCTCGGCCAACTTAGACATCCAAATCTTGTTAAATTGATCGGATATTGTTGTGAGGATGATCACAGGTTACTTGTGTATGAGTTTATGTTCAGAGGAAGCCTTGAAAATCATCTGTTTCGCAGTATGCACCTGTCTTTTCTACTTGTTATGCTTGTTATTCCATATATTTAGAAGCATTGAGCAAATTTACAACTTCTCTACTACCTGTAAATATCTACTATATGCTTAAGTCAAACANTTTTTTAATCATTCGTTTTTGTGGTGTTCGACACTGTTACAGTTCAGCAGCTACATATTTTATCGTCTTTGCCTGTTAAAACCGAGAAGAAGCACAGTCGTTCTGTGTCAGATCTGAGTGATTCTTCTACTCCACGTAATTTAGAGGATTCTAGAAGCAATGCGGTGCTTTATACTCATGTAATTGCCTTCACTTTGTACGAGCTCGAGACTATCACTAAGAGTTTTCGCTCTGATTATATTCTTGGAGAAGGTGGTTTTGGAACTGTTTACAAAGGTTACATTGACGAGAATGTCAGGGTTGGTCTTAAATCTCTCCCTGTCGCTGTAAAGGTTCTCAATAAGGAGGGCCTTCAGGGCCACCGTGAATGGCTTGTATGTCTTTCTCTCTCTTTTTCGTTTCATTGTAATGTTGTTTTTTCAATTAATTAATTAATTGTTTTTCGCAGACGGAGGTCAACTTCCTCGGCCAACTTAGACATCCAAATCTTGTTAAATTGATCGGATATTGTTGTGAGGATGATCACAGGTTACTTGTGTATGAGTTTATGTTCAGAGGAAGCCTTGAAAATCATCTGTTTCGCAGTATGCACCTGTCTTTTCTACTTGTTATGCTTGTTATTCCATATATTTAGAAGCATTGAGCAAATTTACAACTTCTCTACTACCTGTAAATATCTACTATATGCTTAAGTCAAACGATTTGAACTTTTTCACTCCGTGTTGTAGGATCTAAATGCAAATTCTGTTTGTTTTTGATTGCTTGGGAAATTCCCTAGAAGGTTCGAATTATTCTCATAGCTTTTCCGTCCTTTTTGGGTGGTGTTAGTGTGTTACCCTATTACTTCCATTGTTGAGTGTTGTCAACTTTGCACTTTATATGTCTTGGAAAGTGCTCTTTAAGATAAAATATTCACATGAAATACAGTTCATGGTTTCTCAAAACTTAATCAAATGTCGTTAGGATAATAACCTCAAGCAGATAGAAACCACAGATTTTTTAAGAGAAAAACTGCTGATTCCACCCTAATGAAAGTGTAAAATCAAGAATTCATGATCAGGTGTAAGTGTCATTTACATGGAAGAGAAACTTTCAGTTATAATTTTTGTTTCCCATATTCAATAGTTTAGAGCATGTCATACTCAAATGCTTCTTGCTTCAAATGGGGTGTTATTTATCTGTACTATTCATCTTTTGAAGAGGCTCCTACATTGCAATATCAACTTTGAATTTTATTAGACTATTTTGTTAAAATGTTTTTTAATTTATTCATATAACATCATGGTGATTTATTGTCCTGTGTGTGAGTTACTGAGGAAAATAATGCCGACCAAATAATAGCAATTAATTCTGATGACATTAGGGGGCATTATTTTCTACTTAGTTTCCAGTAACATATCAGTTTTTTCATTTAAATAAAGTGTTTCCTGATGCATTTAGAGGCAACTGTTCCGCTATCATGGGCCACAAGAATGATGATTGCTCTTGGAGCTGCCAAAGGGCTTGCTTTCCTTCACAATGCTGAAAGGCCAGTTATATATCGGGACTTCAAAACCTCTAATATATTGTTGGATTCTGTGAGTTAAAACTTCATACATTCCATTTTACGAATTTTCTATTAAGGTTGTGTGGTATATTTGTTCTTGTTCATCAAAGTTTGTTGTCTTGGAATCTTCAGGATTACACGGCCAAGCTTTCTGATTTTGGTCTTGCAAAAGCTGGACCACAAGGTGATGAGACCCATGTATCAACTCGAGTGATGGGTACATACGGCTATGCTGCTCCTGAATATGTAATGACTGGTATGCCCTCAATTTTATCTTAGAAATTCCTAATTTATCAGCGCTCTTTTGTCCTAATCTATATAGGAAGATAAAAAGGAAATCTTTAGTTTGAAAGCTGTAATCAACTGGGAGTTGTTTTTGAATCTTTGTTCTGTATATAAGGAGAATGACATCTTTTTTTGACGGCATTGATGATAAGAACTGCATGATAGAGAGGTGGCATTGGATTCTGTGGTGTGATGTTACTATCTGATACAAATTGGATGATATATCATATGGGCCATTTTAAGGTTCTTCACTGGAGTTTTACTTGGGTTGTCTCTTGTATACCTGAAATTAGAGTCTTTCTTCTATTTTTACATTAACTTGTACATATTAAGTACCGGTATATTTTCATGTTATCTCCAGAACCGGAAGTAATGCAAAATTTCTTGGTTATGAGAAAGGACAATGTAATTGATGGGGAACAAGAAATTTGATGAAGAAAAGAATAAGAAATTACTGATTTATCTATTAGCTAATAAAAGAATATTAGTAAGAAAATAATGATTGAACTATGAAGTGATAGAACATATGGTGGTAGTTTGACACCGGAAAAAAAAAAAAAAAAGTACAAAGGAAGAAAAAAAAAAAAAAACCATAGATGGAAGGGCAAAATTTCCACACTTGTCTTGTAGTGAGGTTTTGAAAAGTTTTGAGAGATGTTTGCAATGAAATTCAGAAGTGAAAGTGAGGTTTCTAAAAAATTCAAGAACCTCTTTTAGTTTGCATTAATTTTAGCCAAAGGGTTGAAAATATCCTGTTATGTTTCTTGATGAAATCAGAAGAGTGGAAGCTTTGGCCTTTGACAATGGTATTAAGTTTAGTGTCATTGTTGATTTCTGGCAACTAAAACTCTTCATTCAATTTCCAAACATAAATGAAGGAATAAATAATAGACTATACTGAAGACGGGCTTCCACTCTTAAGCACATTACTGTGTTTAGCCTTGTAACACCTCTCAGGAACCAACTGAAAGCATGGATTTTTTGAGAAATTGTGATTCCTATCCTTCCCATAGCATTTTTTATTGTTAAATGTATAAGTGATTAGTGAATTTCAGTAATTTGGTGCATTGTTGAGTGCATCCTACCCTATTATTGACCCCTTGTTCTTCATGCTGACTAATTTTTTGAATTCATTTCTCATGTAATTTGTGGCTTTCCTTTAAATAAGTCAGTAGATGAAGTAGCACTGATGTCTGTGTTGTGCATGTGAGCAGTTTTCATGTTTCTTGTACTTAAAAGAATTCTAATTTCTGCTAGTGCTTGTGCATTAATAAGATCTGAATGAATTGAACAGGCCACCTGACTGCCAGGAGTGATGTATACAGCTTTGGAGTTGTTCTTTTGGAGCTTTTGACTGGAAGAAAATCTGTTGACAAAACAAGACCAAGCAAGGAGCAAAGTTTGGTAGATTGGGCCCGGCCAAAACTGAATGACAAGAGAAAAATGTTGCAAATAATTGACCCTAGATTGGAAAATCAGTACTCAGTGAGGGCTGCTCAGAAAGCCTGTAGCTTGGCATACTATTGTCTAAGCCAAAATCCTAAAGCAAGGCCTTTGATGAGCGATGTAGTTGAAACTTTGGAACCTCTACAATGTACTAGTGATGTTGGTAATGAAGTCTCATTATCACTGACCCCAACCTTTGCCGTTAGTGGTGCTAACGCTTTTGCAATGGGAGGAGTCCCAGGTTACCGGGTGCGTTCTAGGTTCGGCAATAATGTTGGTCCTGGTGCTAATTGTCGATCGCCCAATCCAAATTGTTCGCCCAGTGGTCCTGCAGCATGCAGGGTTAGGTGAAAAAATGTGAGCTATTGTATACTTGTTTGGTGTGCGGTTTCCTCTCCAACCCCTTTTCAAGATAACAAAAAATTTGTTGTTAAATCATGGGTGCATTTTCTTCTTTGTACTTAATGTACACTGTACCACTTTGAACCCAAGCCCCCTGTTAATTGTTGCTAGCCAACACGGTGGCTTGTGTCGATTTTCTAATTGTGTTCGTCGAGGAAATTTGCCATGTTAAATATTTGTTCCTCTACATACACATATTTTGAACTTGTAGCTTTTGTTATGAACTGTTAATGCTACTGTTGATATTGCGAGGATAACAAGATTTTGTGGGTTTCTGCAACTCTTGATAATTTAGGGTTATCAATTCTTGATTCTATCTTGAACATGAAAACCCGAACCCTAATTATTTCACTACAAGATGTGTGTAATTTTAACTGCTTATGTGAGAAATGGAAATATCGAATTACTGTAATAGGCTCAAAACTTTGTAGAATCTCTAATTGGTAGCGAAAATATCTAAACTGACCCATGATGTCGAATCAATTATTAATCTCTTCTCCACCACACATTTTTTATGCACAAAATCTCCAGCTCCAACCCTCATCGTCCTCTTTCTCTCTGTCTGGCTGTTTCTGTCGCTGTATCTGTGTCTCTGGTTGCACGATGAATTATGGAGTCAAAGTACTAGCGTTGGTTTTATTGATCGTCCATTTCAGGGCAAGGGTGGCTCAAGGACTAGGTGGTTTGTTTGGATTAAATGTATAAGTATATATATATATATATGTTAATCTGTAATTAATTCACTTACCATCAATGGTTATTAATTATTACATGCAGATGGAGAACTACTACAGCCAATTGGAGGAACTGAGTACAGAGTTATGGAGGTGGTGGTGGACAATAGACGAAGGCTTGCACCATTTCAGCTCTGCTTGCTCTGCAAATGCTGCGGCGGTTCAAGTTCCAGCACCACCACCTGTGTAACCATTCCCTGTTGCTTTGGGATCAACTGCCGGCTTCCCAACAAGCCTTTTGGGGTTTGCGCATTCGTTCCCAAAACCTGCAACTGTACTTCCTGTGCCCATCAAATTTAACATCAAATCTACTGTTATATATATCTCCTCATATTTTTTAATCAAACAAGCATTTTCCATTTCTATTCTCTTCACGTAAGTGTTATTGTTTTCATGAAACATCAAGTAAAGGAAATAAATATCAGTGGCCAAGCCCTGCTGTTTGAACATTTCATATAGATTCATTTAGCTCTAGTTTCCATGTGCTTTCTCGCTCTGCAAATGCATATCAGAAGTTAAAGTTAGACATGTGTTTTTCTCAGAAAGTTTAATGCATTGGTGATGAAAAGATGTTGGATTTTTCTTTCATTCTTTTGTGTGTGACCTGGAAGCGCACTACCATATAAGATGGGAAGGTTAATCCTCCATTAACATTTGTTTAATTGCATAACCTTATTCCTATCAGATTGCTTTTTCAGTTTTGAGTTTGATGATGGCTGCTGAAACTTACCACTACCAGAGACACTTACCTGAATTCTATCCATTTCCTGATAGAATATATTTAAAAAACTAAAAGAACAAAAGCCAAAACGTATAATCACTACAATGGAATTTGATTGCTGTCACAAAGTCAATGCTCTGAATGTCTTCATCTTCTTCATTAAAATAAAAATACTTCCATTTCCGAAGATCAAAATCAAACCCCCCTTTCTATCCGCATGTTAATTTATAAACTACAGGAGTTAATGCAGTACACATTCTCCATTAAGTAAATTATCGTTTTCGCCTTTAGTTCACATTCCTTTATCACAATTACATTATATATATATACAACGACCACCACCAACCTAATGCTTTTGCCAAGTGTGATGATGTTAGACCACTAGCTACTACTTCACACATGAACATCAAAAACAAATATATTATCCCGTTGCTGCATCATTCTAATCCATTCTTGTCCATCGACTAGGAGTGAAATCAAGTCGAGTCGTGTATTTGGATACTCGAACTCGTCTCGTTTGCTACAGTATCGAGTTCGAGCTTGATGAATCGAGTTCAAACTCAAGCTCAGTACCAAAAAGTCAAATTTGAGCTTAGTTAATCGAGTTTAAGTCAAGCTTAATTAAGTTTTAGTTGAGCTTAATCGAGTTTTTCGAGTTTTTTGTACAGTAATCGAACTTAACTCATGGGATTATTCGAGCCAAAGCTGAGCCGCTCAATTTTCTCCCATACCGTGGAGTATATAAATCAGCATGCATATATACAACGACTACCACCAACCTAATGCTTTTGCCAAGTGTGATGATATTAGACCACTGGCTACTACTTCACACATGAACATCAAAAACAAATATATTATCCCGTTTCTGCATCATTCTAATCCATTCTTGTTCATCGAGTTGGAGTGAAATCAAGCTGAGACGAGTATTTGGGTACTCGAACTCGACTCAGTTACTACAATATTGAGTTTGATGAATCAAGTTCGAACTCGAACTCGGTATGTAAAAGTCGAATTCGAGCTTAGTTAATTAAGTTTTAGTTGAACTTAATCAAGTTTTTTTTAGCTTTTTGTACAGTAATTGAACTTGACTCATTGGATTATTCGAGCCAAAGTTGAGCCGAGCTTGAGCCGCTCGTTTTTCTCCCCTACCGTGGAGTATATAAATTAGCATGCATATGTACTTTTGATCTCTATATACACAACAATTTAATTGTAGAGTCATTCATTAATTAGGTTGAAATTTGTTGATGCTTGATTTTAGACACCAACGACTCGCACGTGCAAAGTTCTAAGAGAGTCTTAGAAATTACACGTGATGGATCCATGAGATTTGAATATGATGCTGAGATTATATATGTTGCAGAAACATAAATAATATACTGACAAGAGAGGTTTTTATAGTGGTTCGAATGCTTAAAGCAACTCCTACATCCACTGTTATTTTATTATTTCTAACTATTTCTATGATATTGCCCATAAGACATACAAAGATGAAGAAATACTTTGCTTCCAGAGAGAAAGAATAAAGCTTAAATCTATGCGTAGCTCTCACATGCTCAACCCCCCTTTTCGTGAAGAAAGGTGCTCATTTATATACCTTTTAGGTCAATTTAATGAATGCTTTTATAAGTTGCTCTGACCTGTGGGGACCACTCCTTAATCCTTATTTTTTTGTTTTGATAAAGTTGGGATAGGTGTGCGATCCTCATCCACTCATAGACAAAACTTGAATCTGTTAGGATACTAACAACCATGATCCCTTCTGTCTTAAGGTGACGTGACAGCTCCTGGACGACACAAAGCCTTCCTGAACTCTGATTGGTTGGTGCTGACATCAGTGCGATTTTGTAGGCACAACAAAATTAATTAACTTGGGGTTTTAGGAGGAGTTAATTACTTACCTAATTGCTGGTTTCTGGGTTGTTTCCAGTGAGGAAACTGCAGATGGTTAAGTAATTGGATGGATGTCTGTCACTGCAATGAAGAAAGTCATCTTTTTGTTTTGTCAACAATGTTACGTAAGTAGCTAATCTGGTCTTGTATATATTCATGAAGAAAAATGATGCCATAATATTCAACAAAAAGACTGATTATTTAGTGGTTTCCTGACTCAAAATTTTAAACCAAGTTGCTCTAGTTTAATATCAACCGCAGATTAAATTAATATTAATGCAGGAATAAACCCTCGTCAGATTGGCTGTCCATCATTCCATTCTTTATCTTGCTCTCTTGTTTTATTCACAGAATTCTTCCCCGCAGGATAAAATTAACATTAATCACTGTATGCCTGTGTTGGGAGAATCAAATTGAAATTCTCTGGATAATCAAGACACCATATAAAAACAAGAAGAAAGAAGAAAAAGATACACATTCGTACACGATGATTTCATTCTGCTGAGCTTCTTCCAACTAAAACCCACGTTTATATAGAGTCTTAGCCTTTGAATACTGTCCCTGGAGATCAACTTGATGCATAATTTAATGAAAAATTAGATAACGAAGTTTCTTTATCACGACAAAGAATGTGATCACATGAAGGTTTGAAGAATCCTCCGCCACTTGATTTATACTATACTATAGTATTGTAGCTAGCCCAGCAGCCATTGTTTACCACTCCGTACGATATGAGTTTTCCAGTAAAGCAAAAATCCATTTATTATTCCTGGAAAAATAGGGCTGATGCAGAGTCTTGTCAGCATAGGTGATTAGAACTTAAGAAGGTTCTATGATTGCTCAGATACTGCCATATCGCATGATGACGTGAGTGACATGCTCTTGCCAGTGTAGTAGGTGTACGCCAAGTTGTCAAATGGTTGGAGATGGTCCACGTGTCTAATCTCTACACAAGTCGAGGAAATCACTGAGACATGTGAGCAATGAGACGTAGAGAAGGATTTGCACACCATCTATCTCACTCGCAGATTTAGTAATCATTACCTTGATTCATCCCACTATAAATAGAGGTCTCATCTCCCATTTTTGGGATTAGCTAATTTCACTCTGGAATAGTATACTCTCTCTCTCTTGTAATCTCTAAGTTGTAGCTCAATGCGTTGAACGCGACTTGACTTTACTCATTAATACAATATCAGTGGACGTAGGATTCGCCTTATGAGCATCCGAACCACTTTAAATATTGTTCTTCACCTTTTATTCAACAAAATACTTCCATAACCACGTGTGGCTTCTAAGTCCACTTACCATTTCTCACGTACGAATAGTTGGTGTCAAAATCAAGCATCAACCCCATTCAATTGACATCTACAGGACTGGGACTGATACAAATGTATACAACAAAAATATATAGATGTTAATGATGGGTGTTTGATAATGGCTTCCCAAAGGGAAAATATGGGAAATGATGGTTTCCCTTACTTCCAAGACCGCTAACTTTTGTGTGTCTCAATGTAACATGATTATGCATGAGCAAGTTCAGGTAAAAGAGGAGGCTCCTCTTATTAAGAAATGGACTGGACATAGTTTTGGAATAAAAAAGAAAAAAGAAAACCAGATGAATAAATGGAGGGGACCTAAGGGTGTTAGTTGTGTAAGCCACTAAGCTAGACAAAAGTCCGAGACAAAGGTCTCTCTTTCCACGCACGTCCTTTTTTTTTTTAATATTAAATTAATCCATTAATTAATTAATCCATCTTTGGAACTGATGAAGTTTGGACTTTGGATTGAGTATATAACTACCACCACCACCGTCTCCTCTCTTTATATATATCAGCTCTCTATATCTATCTATATAACTCTCGTTGAGTTTCTTTCTGGTTCTGGGTACTGCAAAGAAGTTGCATGTTCAGTATGTCTAAAGTATATCCGGCTGAGAACAAATATAATGGTTTGATGATGTCGAAAGAGAAAGTAGTGGAGGTGGAAGAAGATGTAGTACGACGTCGTCCGTGTATGCTGACTGTATGGAAGAGATCAAGCATGAGTTTCCAAGGGACCGACGGATTCACAGTGTTTGATCACCATGGGAGATTGGTTTTCAGAGTTGATAATTATTCAAGGAATAAAGCCGCTGGTCTCGTTCTCATGGACGGAGCTGGGAATGGTTTGCTATGTTTGAAACCCCAGGTAAAAAAACAAAAAAACAAATCTTTCTTTTCTCATCATCAATATGTATGCATGGTAATTGAATCTTGACGTTCGTGTTTGATGGGCAGATGTTAAGCATGCAATACCAGTGGAACGCTTACAGAGAAGAAGAAGAAGAAGACGACGACCATGGAAAGAGGTCTAGAGTGTTCTCAATGATGAGAAGGTCGCCGGTGTTCTTCCACAACGGCAAAGATGAAGCGGAGGTTTACATGGGAGGGAATAAACAAGCTCAGTCGAATATACCGGATTTCACAATCGAGGGTTCTTTCAGGACTCGAAATTGCAAGATCGAGAATGCAAATGGAGAAGTGGTGGCGAAGATCTCTCGAAAGAGAGTCAACTCAACGATTTTACTAAGCGACGATGTCTTCAACCTGGTAGTTCAGCCTGGTTTTCCCACTCATTTAGTTATGGCGTTTGTAATAGTATTGGATCGCATATGCAGCAAGCCATTTGCTCCAGTTTTGTGTTCTTAATTGAGACTAAATTCTTCCCTTTCCTTGTACAAATTATAGTTTCATAATAAGTTCATTTATACCAAAATTTTCATTATCCCCCCCATACATCCCTCTAAATCAATGATATAGTCGGACGCACTATTTTGGCCATGCTAGTGCAACGGATTTATAAAGGATTTGACATTTAACATAGATTGTCTTTCTTTAGACAAAGACTCCCTTGTTTTTTCCACTTTTTTGGATGATGCCAAATTCTTAACTTCTAAAAGAGAGGTTTATAATAACTTCTTTTAAGCCGGCGATCGTTAAATTCAAACTTTTTGAAGGATTAGTCGATGTGTGTATAAACCGACCCAGATACCCTCAATCATCCTGCACAAAACTATAAATTTATAACCTGATTAAGATAGCTAGTTGAATCGGTGAAAATTATACCTAGTTTTAAGTCTTAAAGAATCAAGAGGGAAGCTAATAAAGACCTTAACATCCATTTATTTATAGTACAAAACAATATTAATGGTAAGTGTTAATACTCTTGGAAGATTCTTCTTTACCTTCATCTATGAAAAAATTTCTTTTGCATACCCATTGTATTCTAATTTCTAAAAAGATATTAAAAAAAAAAAAAAATTAAGCTTTTCCCTCTAATTCTCTTTAAAATTATTATTCCAAGACAATTATTCAAATATCGGGTGTGTTTGTTTTGTTACTTTGGATAAGATTTTGGGAATAATATTGGATAGTTGAATAGGGTGAGTATTAGAAGGTAAAATTTAAAAATTAACAAAGAAACCCCCTAGGTTTGCTAATTTAACCAAACACCCCAATATATAATTTTTTTGTAAAATGACAAAAACACTCACACCCACCCACAGTGCCAGATTACAGCCACCACTACCAGAATCTAGCCGGAAAATGGCGTTACGACATAGACTAGTCGGATCTGGTCGGTCGTGCGTCGACATAGCCTTTTCTAGCCAGATCCACCACGGATCTGTCCGGAAAAGGCCATATCTACGGCCAGATTTGGTCATTGAGGGCCGCAAAAGGCTAGACTGTCTTTTTCCGGCCAGATACACTGTGGGTCTGATTGAAAAATGTCAGATCGGCAAATTACTGACCAGTTCCGATTGTTTCTACGCCGTTGTGACAAATTCCGGCAACCATCGATGGTAAATTAATAAAAACACCCCCACCCACCCATGGTTGTCAGATTCCGATAACCTCCGACTGTGATTGTCGGAATCTAACAACTATGGGTGAATAGAGGTATTTTTGTTAATTTTTAATTTTTTTTTTCTAAGAGTGTTTAATTAAATTAATAAACTTAAGAGGTCTAAATATAATTAAAAAAATTAGAATAGTATTTTCTAAATAATTAAACCAATAGGTATTTTGAGAATATGATAGAAAATAGGGTATAAAATATTAAGCACCCAAAGTTTCTTGATATATCCTTCTTTAAGGAAGCAATTATTCTCAGGAATTGCGCTTTTTTTTTTTAATGGCGTTTTAGATATTTTGAATTGAGAAAAAGAAAAGAAATATTTAAAGAGGATAATCCCATGACACAAAGTTATCCTTTTTTTTTTTTTTAAAAAAAAACCGTTTACATTCACCTCAAGTAATACTTATCATTTCCTCTGTCTTGATCATTGTTTTAAAACCCGGACCGGAGGGCAAACCATTTTGCTATCCGGGTCACGGTTCAATCGGTCCAACCGGTTGGACCGGTCGATTGGACCGATGACGTCAGCAATATTTTATTTTAAAAAAATTACATATTAACCCCTTAAATTTTAATATATTACAAAAATTCGCCTAAAAAAGTTCAAATTGGTCCCTAAAATTTTTATTTATTCCAAAAATACCCCAATAAAATTACCAATTAATCCCTAAACTTTTGATATATCTTCAAAATACCCCTATAAAATTACAAAGTAACCCTCATAATTTTAAAATATTTCAAAAACCCCCCTGAGACCTAAACCGGACCGGAGAAGCTACCGGTTCACGGTCCAACCGGTCCGACCGGCCGGTCCGGTCCAATTTTTAAAACAGAGGTCTTGATATCATACTTTGCTTACTATAAAAAAAATTTGGGAGAGAGAGAAACAGTAAACATTTTAAAGAGAAATAGCGGAGGTATTATATAAGAAAACAGCTTAATAATTTATTTAATGAAATAATACCCTAATATATATGCCATACAAGGATCTTTTCACTTCAAAATTTTCTTACTGGAATTAACTTATCATTTGCTTCAAAAGAAGAAGAAGAAAAATTTTCTTTCTAATATTTATTTCCCAGAAAACAGAGAATTCACATTCAATCCTCTTTCCGCTAACCTAATTTAAAGGTTAAAAGGGCTGCCAATGACAACAAACATAGCAGACAGAATTGCTCTTTTCATCTGAGTAGAAGCACTTTAATGGGTATAATAAAATCAGTAATGCATAAAACTGAAGCAAGCTCTTATACATATGACAGGCTCAACCTCTACCCTAAACTCTCAATTATCGCCTTGGAATCTAATTCCAACAAAGTGTGGTCCAAAATTAGAAGAACAGAATTCCGTGACAAGATTGACTCAGCAATCGCATATGATCTTCAATTACTTATCTCTATCGAGTCATCCATCATGTTAATACACTGATAAATCCATTCACTACTTTAGTAAATATGCATCCACCAACCTATGTGCACCAGATGGTCTGATACATCAATCAATCATCAGACAAGAAAGTCTTGCCTTCATAATACTTTTTCTCACTAGCTGCCTTTTTCTCGTTTCGCTTCTGCAGAAAAGAAAGAGGGTAAAGAAAAATCTTAGGTTAAAACACAAAAACACAATGGCAGAGATAACACGCGTCTTAAAAATGGAAAGAATCTGATAACCACAGGGTCAGACGAGCTGATTATAGGTTAAACCTCATAACAAGCACAGGGCCCCTCTGTTCAATCATTTCTATCAGACATACAGATCAGTCGTAACACAATTTTAACATGATATTCATTTCAAGTGGACACAGTCAACAGGAATGGATCACATTTATTCAGCCAACAAATTGGATGCCCATCACATATTCCAAGGTTGGAGGACAATTAATAGGTCTAAACAGGGACTAGCCATACTAATGACAGTGGCAAGAAAATGACATCTTAAAAAGGTCATTTTTCCGGTTCAAAATAAGGCATTGATCATGGTGTGATTGTTGCACAGAAAGCTCCTTTATTCAGTCAAGTGCTATCATGGTCATACATTTGGAACTCTCGACAGAATTGGTGACTGTAAAAGGATGCAATTTTTTTTTTTTTTTTTTTTTTTTTTTTTTAAAAGTATCAGAGATAACAGGGTTTGGAAGTGAACCTGGTATGCCTCATGATTTGCAACAATCCTTCTGATTATCGTGGTAGTTGTGATATCCAGTGGGCTTTCCAAAACTTTAAAGATACCCATGCTAATCGGAACTGCATATGGATTGTCATTCTCCTGTATAACAATGAAATGTCAGAAAAATTGAGCATATTGGAACCTTATTAATAAATGTAATTGTACATTATAACAGTGAGCAACTTCTAAAATTTTACCTTCTCAAAATCATTGTTCTCAGCTACTGTTCCATGGACAACTAGTGAGATGTTGAAGGTTGTGACCTGCAGTAAAAGAAATTTCCACCAAGTTACGACAGTGATATATACAACATGTTCTGAATATAACAACTCATCCTTGGACCGAAGAGAGAGAAGTTAAAGCAACACAAAATGTCATTTGCTTTGCACCTCTCCTCCAAAAGTTCTATATCTATATCATTTAAAAGTAATATATACAACATGTTCTGATTATAACAACTCATCCTTGGACCGAAGAGAGAGAAGTTAAAAGCAACACAAAAATGTCATTTGCTTTGCTCCTGTCCTTCAAAAGTTCTATATCTATATCATTTAAAAGAAATTACTAAAATTACTGTACAACTTTCACAACTCACTGACTTGGCTGGGTGACCGGGTTGGAGCTGTCTGTCACTGCAGCATGCCCATGGGCAAGCCCTGTGTACTCTGTGTAACATGTGCAATGCAATGCCTTTGAGGTTGTCATCCTGTGATCTTTTTCTACTATTTCTATAAGCTGTCAACAGCTAAAGGGTTAACCCATAATCTAGAAGATGGTTTCCCCTTCATCTCATTGGGGTTGAAATGAAATCTTACGCTTCGTAAAAATATGACTACACAGTGTAGTTGGGAAAATTGAAGGCTTTATCATAATTAAATGCTGGTTGACAGAGGACAGAAGGACCTTGGAGAAGTCAGGATAGTTGCAGCTAAATCCGATTGATGAACTCAATGTTTACCTTTGGACCCTCAAAGATAATATGGAAGGCTAAAGCTGATTATAAGCACCTAAACTTCAGCAATTACGCTCTGTTGGTGCTGCCCTGTTCCTCCTACTCTATCTGATTGAAAGATTATGTTTTGAGGGAAGAAATATGTTGTTTTGTGGGTGTACTGTGATGGCTATCCTTTATGGTTTTGGTGGAAAGGACACTCTATTCTAATGAGATTAAATCAAATTTGTGGCTAAAATTTGCGTCTTCGTCAACCTCATAATTTAGAAAAAAGTTTTTCTTCTTCATTTAGGATAATTGGATGGCAGCAGCTCCTTGACATCAAAAACTTCTTTTGTTTGGGACTTCTGAGGGCATCTAAGGCACCTAGTTAACTTTGTTAAGTCACCTTGTGTTTTGATCACAGGATTCTTTAGTTTTTTTTTTTAGACAGCTTATTCACTTTTTTGTTATTCTTTTTACACATTTATAAAAATTATTGATTCTTATTAAAAATAAATAAATAAATAAAAGTTAACAGAGAGACTGACCATGTCTTTAGACACTTCCCATGGAGCACCGATTATAACCTCATCCACATAGCGACAAGCCAAAACACTTAAACTTCTTTCATGAAGATTCATAATAGGGCGATGAGTTCCTCTTTTTGCACTGCAATTGCATAAAAGGTGCAATGCATCAATTTATGTTCTAATAAAAAAGTAATAAAGCATAAAACATATTCTATTTTCTTACTATATCAAAGCATTCAGAATCATAAAAAGTTATTCAAGCTTTCATGCAGCAAAGTGGCATCAATTTTATTCTGGAAAGCTTTCTATGATACTGCGAATAACAATTTAAAACTAATGCATATATAGAAAAAGAAGGAAAAATTCAAAATGGAAGAAATAGGAGCAATTTGCTACCTGACAGTTTGATCATTGTGTATCCCAACAAGAAGAAAATCTCCAAGCCCCCGAGCAATCCTCAAGATCTACAACACAAAATAATTGGAAACAATGACGTGTATGAGTGTAAGATAACATATAGAGATCCGAGGTGTGTGACAAAAGTGAGGAAAATGTTTATCATCTCTTCCTTCATTGTAACCTACCAGATTGTGGCATAAGCTTTTTCAGACTGCTAAAGTTGCTTGGGTTACTCTAGCATATTGTTATTCTCTGTTTATTTTGCCTTTGGGAAAGAAGAAAAACAAATTCTTTAAATAATTGTGTGGTCTTGGCAACTTTTGAGTTATTTGGCAAGAAAGAAACAGAAGGATATTATGAGATTCAAATTAAAAAAATATCAATTTCTTAGAGATAAAGCTCAAATCTTGGCTTTTCTTTGGGCCTCCTTCTCAAAAGAATTTCAAGAAACTAATATATATATATTTATATACAGAAAGGGTTTTGAATTGATTTTGTCATTTTTGTGTCAGATTTTACCATAGTATCTTTAAGGCTTCTAGTTTAGATTTAATTGTCAAATTTTAGTAACTAATTCATTAATATACCACAAACTTCTTTAACAATAAGGAGGATATTCATCATTCATAAGAACAAGCTAACATTAAAATACCTCGACATGCCCAGCATGAAATAGATCAAATGCACCATCTATATAGACTATACGAGCATCAGGTCCAGGCCCCTGCAAAACCAAATACATAATTTTCATCAAGAAAGTTCGAGATAAGCTTGACAAGAAAGAATTCATAGGAAAAATTCCAGTAAAAAACTGAAACAGGAGGACAGTATACATCACAACTATACAGAACAGAGAATAGAACCGAAAAATAACAGGAGATGATCCATTATGCAGAAACTGGATACTATTTTATAAAATTTCCAAATGGTATTATAACTATGACACCGTTGTTATAACAGCAATCAATCTATTAATTTTCTAAATTGTCATTAACAAAAGCAAAACAAAAACAAAAATATGAAATGAATAATATACCTTGCCATTAGAGAATTGAACAATTCTTCGAGAAGTAGGAAGAAAATGAGAGACACGAGTTCCGCTGCCGGATCCACCATCTTCAAGTTTCTGGTTGTGGCCATGGCTAAACTGCCTTTGCAATGAAGAGTGGTTGTGACTATCGCTAACGGATCTCTCTCTTACACACAGAAGCATACGACCTGTTCATAAACAACGAAAATATAAAAAATTAAGAATAAATAAGAGAAGAAGACATGGAAAGCCATATTATATTTAAATAAGAGCTTAAACATACCAACGATGTCTGTGCTGGATACACCTTCAGTGCGCTTAATCTGCTTGTAGCGGCCGGCCTTCTTGGCAAGGGCATAGGCATCAGTTCCATCAGGAAGAACGCAAGGATCGTCGCCGTGAATAATGTAATCGATGTTGTACTCATCGAACAATTTCTTCATAAAATCTTCAGTTATGGCATAAGGTGCATCTGGAATTACCTCATCCACCCATTTCACAGCATTCACCATTATCATCCTCTCGTGAAGAGGCGTCACGGGAGGACCCTTGTTCACCGTGATTTCCGCGTCGCTCACAACACCAACAACCAGCTGGTCACCGAGAGCACGCGCCTGACGGAGCGCGTTGCAATGACCATAGTGCATCATGTCGAAGCACCCGTCCATGTATACGCGTACTGGCTTCTTCTTTTTCTTTCTCCATTGTAAACTTCCCAATCCCAGCCCGAGACAAGAACCATTTGAAGCCAAGTAGGGGCTCAAGAGAGAAAACCCCGCCAGCACCGCTGCCCCTGTAATCAAACAACTCACTATTAATCTCATCGACGGCTGCTCCTTCGCCTCCGAACCCATTTTCATCTCAAATTTTTTTAATCGCTTCAATTTATTATTGTCAGATCAACCTCAACCGAAACCACCTTTATTCCATTCCCATTTCCATTTCCAGCTTCCTTGGCTTTTTGTCTCCACTAACTTTAACTTTGTTTTCCTTTCTCTCTTTGCTTGCGCCTAGCCTGTCGTCAATTCCAATCTAGGGTTTCATTCCAATCAGGATTAAGATTAGGTTTAAAATTTGCTTATCTATGTAATTTGATGTTTAAGTTCTAATCACGGTCGGTGAGGCCTCGTTCTTTGCATTGTATTTAACTATTTATGGATATCAGGTGTTTGTCTTTTTACTGAAGTGCCCTGTAGTATTTCTTTTCTTTTAAATATTTATTTGATAATTATTTAATTTTTTTTTTTTTTTTTAGAGAGAATCACTTTGCCCCCAGACTTTCGGTAGATCTTTTGTGGTGAACCATGCAGATTGCAGATTTTTGTCAAAGTGTCCTCCGTAGTTTCAGAAATGCGTCAAACGAGGACTGATTCCGTCTGAACTCCGTTGGGCTATGAAGGGTAAAGTCGTCTTTTCAATATTTTGTCTTATTGATTTCTTTTTTCTTTCTTTTTTTCTCCTCCTTTCTTCTTTGTCATTTTCTTAATCCTAGATCTAACACCTAATAAAAAATCATCAAAAATCAAGGTTAAACCAAACCTTAGATTTAACAGCCAATCACAAATCAACCAAAACTCATATTGATAATATGAATTCCAGTTTGAAACTAAAATAGTTTAATGGTTTAATAAAAAGAAAAACGGAAAAATAGAAAAAAAAAGGAGAAAAAGGAATGGACGGGAAGAAGATGAAGAAAAGAAGGGGGGTTGCAGCAGGAAGAAGAAAAAGAGAAAAAAAAGTCTGCACTGGAGAAGAAGAAAATATTTTAATTTATCTTTAATTAATTAATTAATTTATTTATTTGTGTAGTGTTATTTGATTTTGGTTTGAGAGTTTTAGTTTAGAATTTGTTTTGTTTAATGAGAAATTTGAGAGAATTCTGGAGAGAGAATATTCTAAAAAAATGTATAAAATTTTTTGAGATTAATTTTCTAAAATAAATAGAAGTAAAATAAAAGAGAGAAAAAAAAAGTTTTTTGTTTTTTGTTTTTTTGGTATATCATTGTTCAAATAATTTAATTAGGGTTGATCCATTCACATAAAGACAAAGTAAGGTTAATTTGGTCTTTTAATCGTGTTTTGCATGAACAGTTAATGAAAGTTCAGACGGCATTTATGAAACCTTTGGGCCCTTTGACGAAAATCTACATAGGTCTCGCAAAGTAGATTTACCGGAACTACGGGGGGTAAGGTGATTCTCCCTCTATATTTCATTTTCTTAAATGGACCCCAAAGTTTGATGTATACCAAAATCCCCCCAAGGATTTTAAAATAACAAAAATCTCCTTATTATTAGTGAATCTTTAGAATTTATGCTATTATGATTTGATAGATATTACGGAATTATCCTTTTATAGTTTATTTTATCACCTAAATCTTAATGGCAGATAGTTATAATAATAACTGAAATCCAACTCCAAAAGGTTAATCTAATGGTCAAGAATGTTTACTTTCTTCATTGACTTTACAGATTCAAACCACCTTAAGGTCATCTATCACATTTGTGGCTTACTTTGAAATATTAGGTTTGTAGGGTGTTTAATGGGCCTTAAAAATTAATTGAGATGTGCGTAAACTGACTCCAGACACCTCAGTCATTAAAAAAAAAAAAAATGATAATAAAAACCCCTTGCATTTAAGTTTTATTATTAAAATAAACGATAAAAGGATAATTAGGTAAATATACATTAATAGATCATAGGGTAAATTATAACGGTTAGTAAACTACAAAGAAATTTGTATTGTTTCTTAAATCTTAGGGAGAATCGGGTGTTCTGATTAAACTTAGGGCGTTGAGCGTAACATATTTTTGAAATAGATATCAAATTTAGATGTTGTAATAATAAATTATAAAAACCGTGAAAAAAAGAAATTATTTAATGTAATAATAAATTATTTTGCTGAGGTTGTGAGGACAAACAAAAGTGTGATTGAAAATAGAGCGTAAAAAAAATCAAAATGAGATTAATAGATAGAAAAGAAAGGGGTTAAATACAGGGACCCAAAAGGAGGACGAAGGAATGTGCTATTCCACCAAACGAAATACATACCAAAATAAATAAATAGAGAGAGACTAGAGAGAGCGTGGAGTTGGTCGGCGTGGGCGTTGGGGATCAGTGATCAGAGAGAAGGCGAAAGAGAAGGGGATAAACCCCAATTGAAATTCCTTTTAACTGTAAATAAAATGGCATCAACGGAGGGTCTGGTGCCCATTACCAGAAGTTATTTGTCTTCATATTACAATAAGTACCCATTTGCCCCTCTTTCCGATGAAGTCGCTCTCCTTTCTTCTGAGATTCGTTCTCTTGCCAATGATTTGCTCCAGGACTCTCCGCCCTCCCAGGGTTCGCTCTCTGTTCTCCATTTAATGACTTCTTTTTGTTTTGTAAATGTTGCTCTCTATATCACTGCGAAAATATCTTTTACTTGCTCAGATTTGCTCCATTATAATCACATACTCCGTATAGAGCGACTCTTTTATTTATTTTAGCTTTCGAGGGTTAATTGCAATAGAAAAAAAAATTAATTGAGCATTGTAGTTCTCTGCATATCTGGTGATTCATTTGGGGTCCAGAGTATTTGAATTTGGTTTTAGTGTTTGCTTCGTAAATGGTCACCTACTCTAAGAGTACGTCGAATAACCTTTTATCATAGTCCATTAGCTTTCATTAACTATTTCACTCTTCTTGTATACTAGATGAGAGCTTGTTGATTCAGGAAGCTGACCGTCAGCCTCCCCATAAAATCGATGAGAATATGTGGAAGAATCGGGAACATATGGAGGAAATTCTTTTTTTACTAGAAAGATCACATTGGCCTGCTGTGGTAAGATATATTATGTTTTGTACTGAATGTAATTTTTTGTTGCTTCATCCAGTTTCTAGCATATCTATGTAGTACTTTTTGTATTGCTGTAGGATCTTGCCAACAGACATATTCCTAACAGACCTGTTCCTAGTACTATTGAATGATCTTTGTAACTTGTCAATTCTGAATTTAGCTATCATTTATGACTTCATTCTTTCATTGTTTTTTGATTGCAGCTTCAACAGCCATCTACACCTGATGATGCCGAATCAGCAAATGTCTTAGAGCAGCTCAGTCAAAAATTTCAAAAGACTTTAAATGTGTTGAAGGATTTCCAATCTGTGAATTCTGATCGTATATTCAACACAGGTTAGTTCTATGAAATTTCCAGTAGTACTTACAATTCCTATCAACTAAAGAGGTTGCTAGGTAATTATGATAGAAGTGTATAAATACCAAGAGAAAATCCGGTCTAGAACTTAACCTAGGTAATAGTTGTTTTGAAATTGGATTCACTTGTGAAATTAATCTAAAGTCTGGAAACGGATTTCCTATTTTCTTAGTTAAATTACTTGAGCATGTACTTAGAATAAGTTGAGTTTCTGAAAGCAAAATGTTTAACAACAGCACTGGAGTCTGGAATGTTAGAGCTTGGGCTTGAATACCAATATTGCGAAAAATAGATAAAGTTATTTGCCAATTATAAAAAAATTCAAGTTAGTTAATATGCCTGTATTTTCAGTTATGACTTACATGCCTCAAGATTTCCGGGGAACACTGATCAGGCAACAAAGAGAGCGATCAGAGAGGAATAAGCAAGCAGAGGTTGATACTTTAATTAATTCAGGTGGAAGCATACGTGACCGATATGCTCTTCTGTGGAAACAACAAATGGATAGGTTAGCTTACTTGGTTTTCTATGTGACATTTGTGCTTAGATTGAATGATCTGACGGTGTAACTGCTGATCACAATTTTCAGGAGGAGACAGTTAGCTCAGCTTGGGTCTGCCACAGGTGTTTATAAAACACTTGTAAAGTACTTGGTGGGAGTTCCACAGGTAGATGATCCTATCCTTTTCGTATGAGCTCTTATTTGGTTTGGATATACTTCTTTAAGTTTGCAGTCATGGAAAATTGGTTGCCTTTACTAAGATTAGGATGATTTGATTAGTAACTAAAAGGTTCAGTTTTGGTTTTATTAGCGTCTAGAGTGCAGATTGGAGGCAAAAATATAGCTTACTGTGACACTCGGGTACATGGTATTATATCTCAGGTTCTTAGACATCATACGGTACAAAAGTGCAAGCTTAAAGCAACACCTAATTGTCTCTGTGGTTCTTTTGTGTCACCTATTAGTTTTATGCTTTCTCAATTGGAAATAGTTTATGATTATTAGCAATCTGATGCAGATAGATAGAATGTACTGCAAAAAATATGATTAGGCTTGGATTTTCATGTTTAGCATGGATAAACATATGTGGATGTTCTGATGCTTTTATTTTTCTTAATGTAGGTTTTACTGGATTTTGTTCGACAAATAAATGATGATGATGGGTATGTCCTTTCTGCTTTTGGATAATTTTAGCTGTCGATCAACTTTCAAAAGATAAATGACTAATTTTCACCTAGATTGAAAGGTAGAAACATTTATTATGGAATTTTTTAATTGATTGTATTGAATGAAAAGAGTTAAATCTTCTAATCTAAGGCCTATGGAAGAGCAAAGACAACGTTATGGAGCTCCTTTATACAGTCTAACAGCAATGGTGACCTTTATCCGACTTTTTCTTTTGTTAGTGTGGGGGAGGTTCAATGCTAATAAACTGTGAGATATCTCTTGCAATCTTTGTTTGTTCTGTTATTTTATTTCTAGTAATTTGTCTTGAGTATGATTTATTATCTGCACTTAGTGGGTAATGACACTTTCTTTTTGTTGTTTTCTGCTTCAACGTTTTTGGCTCATGCATAAATTGAGCAGAAAGAGGCATCAGTTTGCTGTCCTGGAAGAAGCAGTTGATGTTTACACCTCTGAATTTGAAAGGTTCATCAAATTCATTGGGTAATGTTCTGTTTCTTGCTTTTATAAATTGTTTATCATTAATATTTTTACAAAGTTATAAAGTTGTTGTCATTATAGTTATCGTTGTTGTTGTGAACTTTAATAGTCATGTGGTGTAGCTTTTTATGTTTACTATATTGCTACTAAATCAGTTGTTGCATCAGCTCTTCTCTTCTCAGTATGGTTTCTGGTTTGGTTTAAATTGGTGATATTTTCACTTTTTCTATTTGTTTTAAAATTAAGGAGTCTTATTTTTATTTTCTTGGAAGTATTTTACTTGGGATATTTTGAACTTAGTTTTCTTATTTGATGAGTCTTTTCTTTCTTAGATATGATTATGTTACATATTTGAGTGGGACATGTGACACATGTTATAGTAGGATTAAGTTTCTTGTTAACCATTGTCATCTGTAAATAGGCTTAGGGTTGTTTTTACCTTATTTCTTTTTCTTCGTAATTCTTTACTGAACAAGTAAATCTTTTAAAATGTGCTGTGTTACTGCATGGTCTTTAGCTCTATATGTGTTAACTGGCATGTTTGTTTGTACCAGTGAGGTCTTTGCGAATTCCCCTTTCTTTATTTCAGCAGAGGTTGCAGGTGCACTAGAAACAGGGTAAGTTTCAAAGTCTTTGCTTAGCGCTACCTGAATTTTCTGTTTAATTATTGCTAGTTTTTTCATTGCAGGAAAAATGATGAGTACAAGGAAACAACTGTTCCAGCCGGGAAAAATTATGAGGTTTGTTTTCAAATCTGTTTAATAGTGTCCTTTCATCTTTGAAGGTCATTTTAAATGCTTCTTATGTAGTAATGTTTGCTGCTGCTGCTTTTTCCCTTTTCTTTTGGATAAGAATTCAAGAATTTATTAAAGAAAATGTAATAAAAAGTTACAATTATGAAGCAGACCATCAGATGTTCACAACACAAAAACCACCAGGGCTGGGAAAATCTATGAAAAAAAAAGTCCTTAGCATCCCCAAAATTCTGTTTAAAAAAAAAAAAAAAAAAAAAAATATCCTTCCCTGTTCAAGACAGAACTCCAGGAAAATAATTAAACTCTGAAAATCACTTCCCAGTTCAGATGCATGAAGAGAAAAAAGTAATCCTGGAAATGAAACAGGAAGGTTTCACTGTGAATTGGTATATGTTTTGCTGGCACTCCCTCTTCCCAGTGGAGTAGGATTCTCAAGTTAGGAAAAAACTTGAATGATAGAGAGCCTCTCTTGATGATATGAGGGCGGATAAAACTAGGATCTCTGAAAAGTTTCTTTTGCTCTCTTCTGTCTCCTACTATAACACCTAGGTGGATGACCCTAGTATCCACTTCTTTGTGTGCTTCGGCTGCTATAATGTTTTGATGTTGAGAGTTAGTGTACAAGGTTAGGCCCCAGTTGTTATATATTCTTACATATATCTTAAAGAACAATCTCAAACAATTTTTCTTTTAATTATTTATTAAAATTATGGATCTAACTATTATTTCATAGTTATCTTTTTCTTTAGCCTAGTTGGCTTGGTTTGTCAGAACATCTTTGAATTTCCTTTTGTATTTTGTTTGGTAACTGTTTATCGATGCTTGGACCTTTGTACATAATGCTATTCTGAACCAGTTTTTTCTAATTGGTTGTCATTTTAGGTCTCTTTTATGGTGGATTCTGTAAACTCCTACATTGCTTGGGATTTTTCATTGGTACAAGGCAAGATTAATATGGTATAGTTCTTTAACACAATTATTGTAATTTATAAATTTCTCTTTTCTTCACTTCTTTTTGGGGGTTAGTTTCTGCCCAAAAAAGAAAAAAAAAGAAAAAGAAAAATCGTAGTTCAGGCTTGTGCGTTAAGAGAAGTGATTTATATCTCAGAAATCTTTTACCCTTTTCTTAAAATCATATGTATTATTCTTAGTGTGGCTCAACATTATTTTCATAATTTTTCTTTTGAAAATTAAATATAAAAATGGCTCTCTGAGGACTTCAGTTTTATCCTTTTTGGAGAAATTGGGTTAAATTTGTTATAAATTAACCGATTATTGTTTATCAAATAAGTTCTGAAGGAAACTTGCGAGTCATTGTTCTTTTGTTATTACTTGAAACTCTGAGCAACATTGTCCTTTTGCCTGCATATGTTCCAGTTTGACTGCAATAAATTGTGAAATAAAGTTTGTGGTTTATTATCAAATAATTGGGCTCATATGCTGTTTTTGTACAAGATGCATGACTTTGTAGTTCTTGATATTGATCTTTAATTCGTTGCTGTCAGGATATTGGATTTAGTTTGGAGTACACAAATCCTTCTGGAGAGAAAACTGTAAGTTGAACTATGGTAGTGTATACTATTAATATTTTAATTCGATTCTCATCAGTTGAGGTTTTTTCATCCTGATTGTTTCTTCGAAACATTCTGTAGTTTCCTTTTTATTTTTCTTATACCAGTTCTGTCTTTGTTGATGCTCATTGCTTCTTTTCTGTTTCACTGGGTATGGATCGTTATCCCTCAGCTGATATTACCTTACCGGCGTTATGAGTCTGATCAAGTGAGTTGCTGCATCTGTTGCCAAACTTACCATGCTTTACAATTTACTGATAAGTTCTGACCAATTTTATTGATTATTTCTGCAGGGCAACTTCTGTACTGTCATGGTGGGGAACTACAAACTCATTTGGGACAATTCATACTCATCCTTTTTTAAAAAGGTGAGCAGATGTGTTCAAGGGATTCCTTGAGTTGATTTCACTTTCTTTTTGACTCATTTTAAGTTTCAGACTCTATGAGGTATGGCTGAGTGTTATTATGGAGAGTTTAGGTATTAACATTGGAAAATTTTGTTAATACAATTTTTATATTTTTCCACAAAGATAGTTCATTGCAAATTCTAGAACCAATATAGCATAATAGCCAGTACACACCACTGCTGACCTTTTTGAACATCACTACGCCAGCATAACAAACCATATGGATTCTTAATTCCTGGAATCAGTGGTTGGATGTTTTTAGACTTTATGATATCTAGATGTCCAGTTTTTACTTGGTAAAAAACTCTTAGATTCAACACAAGTTAATGTGATCCCGTGTTTTGTTTGGTACCAAAGCCCTGCCCTCATTGCAATTAACTTTGGCTAGCTGTTCGCGATGCAAAATTCTGATTTTCCTGACAACTTATGTTCTTTCACTTTTTGCAATAGGTCCTGCGCTACAAAGTGGACTGCATACCTCCTGTGGTTGAGCCAGCGCAGTCTACAGCTGAAGTGGAAGGATGAGAGAAGCTTTCCTTATATTCCTTGGAAAGCAGTGTAATCTGAAGTGATTATTTTCAATTAATTTTTTTGTCATTGCTTCTTCTGAGGTTGGTATGATTTAGATGAAGAATCTCATAACCTGAATGTTACATATGTATATTGCCTGGAAATTAGTATAATCAATTCTTGTTGTCACTCTGCAAAGATGTAACTGATGCTTGATGACCTAAAGAGTTTGCAAGTTATTTCCAGAACATGCTAGGGTTAGCACAATTGATGTTATCAGCTTTGACTTTGATATTTCAACCTCGATGCCGGCTTTAGGCTTATGGGTGAGAAAGATACACAAGGCTCTCAGGCACCATTGATGGTCAGCTTTGCTATTTCAACCTGTGGATTATCATTTGACATGTGATTTGTATTGTTGAATCTTGAACGTTCAAGTTATTTTTCTCTCTTATCAACTACCACATTTTCTGAAACAAAAGCAATCGTCTCCTCTCTTATGGCTTTCTCCAATCTACAAACAAGAAATGATTGACTTCTAAGTGCTAACTTTGCTTTACCTAAGAAAAGATGTAATAACCATCTCTTGTGGCCTGGTGGAGTGAAGGATAGAATGAGAAGTTAAAAGAGAGTCTTGAGTTGAAGTTGTAGCAAGGGAAAGGGGTGGTCACCAATTACCATATCCAAAAAAAAAATTAAAAAAATTCATAATTAATATGCTATACTTACATCAGATTCATTAGCCTTTACTGGTTTATCCAAACCACATCAAATCTAAAAAAATCATAATTAATATGCTATACTTACATCAGATTCATTAGCCTTTTATCGGTTTATCCAAACCACACCAAATCTATAATCCAAAGTGACCATCCCAGATCTTACAATCAGCATTGTTTTAAAACCTGAATAGGAGGGTAACCTATTTAATCAGTTGGACCAACTAGTTGGATTGATGATGTTAGCGATAATTTTATTTTTAAAAAATTACATATTAATCCCTCAAATTTTAATATATTACAAAAAATTCCCCTTAAAAAAGTTTATTAGTCCCTCAAATTTTTATTTATTTCAAAAATGCCCCAAAAAATAACCAATTAATCTCTAAACTTTTGACATATCTCCAAAACACCCTTATAAAATTACCAAGTAACCCTTATAATTTTGAAATATTACAAAAACCCCTCTAAGACATGAGCCGGACCGGAGAAGCTGCCAGGTCTAGGTCCAACTGGTTCGATCTGCTAGTCCAGTCCGGTTTTTAAAACAGAGATAATCAGAGTTAATCATACCCATTACTAGAATTAATAAAGATTGGTTCACAATTTAATCTTACAAACTTTAGACTGTATTACAATGGTGGAGCTCTGCGACAGTAATATGAACCAAACTGGAACTACATGTTTGCTTCAAATTTTATAGTGACTGGGTATGATTTTCTGCAGGGTCAAGGTCGTTTGGTTGTCTTCTTTAACTATGTTCATTACTATAATTAGGGCAGAGAAAACGTGAAAATGTTGAGACTATCTTACAACAAGGCAGTTTTACTGGCATTGGCAGTCAAGTAAAATCATATGCTCGTCTGGCGGTGTCGAGAGTGTTGGAGAGAAGCATAGCAATTGTCATGGGTCCAACTCCGCCGGGCACCGGAGTAATTGCTGACACTAACCCAACTGCTTCTTCATAGCAAACATCTCCTACTAGACGATAACCAAATTCGCAGCTTGCATCCTGTTCATACATAAATCAAATTCAGAACCCAAAGCTAAACATTTATAGAAGGAAACTAAAGGTACTTTACAAGCCAATATGCCATTGATTGGTTTATGTGAAAAACTCCAGCAACAAGCAATGATGAAAGAATTTCTACTTACTTCAACTGGGCATGTCCCAACATCAAGTACAACTGCACCAGGCTTTAGCCAACTCCCACGAACTAGATTCGGCACTCCAGCAGCTGTAACTACAATATCAGCTTTGTTGGTGATTCTCTCTGGGTTTTCTGTGAAGGCATGTATGATACTGACAGTCGCATGGTGCCGCTGCCCAAAGATATTGTAAGATAATGTTTATCTAACTGAATATAATAGGAATGAGTTGAGGAAATCAGTGAGAATGTTGTATTACCTGCAACAGTAAAGATGTGGGTAACCCTACGATGTTGCTTCTTCCGATCACCACAGCATTCTTGCCCATTATCTTCACACCAGATCTGATCAGCAACTCAATGCAACCTTTTGCAGTACAGGAAATAGACAGTGGTTCCCTTCCTCTCATGGCCAGATTTCCCATATTTACTGGATGGATGCCATCAACATCTTTTTCCAAACACACTGCATCCAAAATCTTTCCCTCATCTAAATGCTGTACCAGACATATTTGTCATTAGTCTTGCATTGAAACATCAAATGGAGAGATATCTCTTCCTCCTTTTCCTTTTTAATAAAAGACAACAGCCAAGACAAAACACGACCCATCACATGGCGTTTACTGTCTAGTAGATCTTTTCTAAGAAAGATTACTTCATCCAACTATTTTAAAAACCTTTTCTACCAAACCAGAACCCTCTGAATGATAAAAACCCAATGCTATAGCAAGCTTTGATAATTAAGATCATCCACAGCATTTTCATTTGGACAATGGAAACTTCTTTAATAAAGATCACATGCTATGAACAGTCTAAATTTCGGCAAGATGGGAAAAGACATGAGTAGATTTGCCAAATCATTTCACATATTAGATGCTTCATTTCAAGAAAGTCACATTCCAGATAAAAAAAAAATGAATAAAAAATATATCTTAGTTGTAGAAATTACTTGTGGTAGAGGAAGCTGTACAAGAATACCATGAATTGATATGTCCTCATTGAAATTCGATAGAGCATCAAGAACCTCATCTTCTGTACAGTCATCGGGAAATAGAGAAACAACAGACTTGATTCCAGCTTCTTCGCAAGCTTTTATCTTGTTGTGGACATAAGTCTGAGAGTCCCTTCTTTGGCCCACCAAAATCACAGCCAAGCCAGGAACCTTTCCAATAGAATCCTTCATTCTCTTCACTTCACCAGCAATACTTGACCTGATTCCCTCTGCAATTGACTTTCCATCAATTACAGTAGCAGAACGTTGATAAGCTGTGATTAACGTTCAAAAATCAACTACACTGTCCTTAAATGGCATAAAGAAAATGAAATAAGTAACTCAGGATGATGGCAATATAAATATCCTTGCTCTTTAACATAAGGAACTCATAATTGACGAATTTGTAGGTTCAGTTCCTACCGGATACACGCCAATCTACCCTCCAATAAGTCTATTGGAATTGGCTCTGTATCAATGGATCTCATCACGAATTGGTGTGATATATTCATATCATAACAAATAACCAGTAAGAATATGCAGCATTTACAAAGTATTTGGCTATTGGGGAAAGATCAATATGGGTCAACTAGGACAGAAATAAAGCATTGGGTCGAACTCTTCTAGCTATGAATAGACATCAACTCTCTGAAGTAAAAGCCATCCCAGATGAATAAAAAAAAATGGCTAAAAGAAGAAAAATGTACGAGGAAATAGGAGGAATTGAAGCTACTTACAGCAAACAGGTGGTGGGAGAGAATGATCATGGCTGGAGTTATGAGTCCAGACGTCGGGGAGGTCCAGAGAGACAAGTGGTGGAGACATTATAACTTTGCTGCTATATGAATGTAATCGCATCTTCTTTATTAATCCCTTCTGCCATGCCATGCCTATCCTCCGCATTCTACTTCTTGCCATTATCATTTTTATCATCTACAATCCTATTTCTGCATTCTTCTCTTCATGGTTATTTAAATAATCACCTCCAACAAGCTCAAATCAACTGTTAAAAAATTCCTAATGGCTCAGAACTCACAAATGGAAACCCACCACTTGTTTACGTGGTCGGTATCGAACAAACAGAGCAGACGGCGGCTACATAGAGCAAGGAGTTTTTATCAGATTTTTCACTGCTCAGTAATAAGTCCACAATCATTTATTGGGCCAAGCCCAATCCATGATTTAGCAGCCCAGTTGGATTAAGGAACATACCCACTTTGTCACCTGAATTCTTTTTTTATTTTCTCACCTTCTTTCGATCTTTCTCATTAATCAACTATTTTTTTAGTTTGAGATTAGGGTTTTCTTTCATGTAATTTATATGTGCGTTTTGTTGATGTTGGGCAATAAATCCACAGAGAGTGGATTCACGCCACATGTCGAATCTCTCCAACTTGTGTACTAATCCATAAGAGAATTATTTCAGGGATAAGATTTAAATTGCATTATCATCATGCTGTGTCACTCCCTCAAATGACTACTTCATGTGTAAGCCTCCAAAAAAAGATTACTTCACCAGTAAGATTTCAAGCTATGATGTTATCTTGGCCACGTGTCGCTATGCGTGAAGGTTACTACACACCACATCTTGGCCCCATGTCGAGACGCATGAAGGTTATTTCAAACCTAAGATCACCCTCAAAACACTATAAATAAGGGGGATATCTTCATCTTTTTTACTAAAAGAGCCCTACAACAATAGTCTCTCTAGAGCAAATTCTTCTTGTAAATACATCAATAAAATAACAGTGGACATAAGAATTGCTCTGTGCATCAGAACCACTTTAAAAATCGCTATTGTCTATTTCTCTACTTACTTTTACGCATTTACTGTTTAACATTTCATTTGCTCCACATGTAAACCTCATTGAACCCACAGGTTCAACATTATACTTACTATTTCACAGTCTCCCATAGACCATTTGCGCAAACTTCTCGAATGCTTGCATACATCTCATTGGTGCAAAAAATCGCATCAACATTTTGGTGCTAAAAGGAGGGCCTTTACTAAGCTCTTCCTGTCTACTAGCACACATCACAAACACACAACAAAAGGCAAATAAAAGGAACGTAAAGACATTCTTTTCTTTTCATTTATATCCTTTTTATTTGCATATCACAAAATATAGGTACAAAAAAGGGAAAAGAAAAATGAAGCTAGCAAGCAGAAGCTAGAGTTAGCAAGCAGAAGAGCTAGCGAGTAGGAGTTAGAGCTAGTGAGCAGATTGGATTAGAGTTAGAGCTCGAGCTAGCGACCTCGACCCTTAATCTAGTTTATGACCCGAGCGATCTGTTCTTGAGCTAGCTACCCTCAAGCTAGTTGATGACCTGGAGCTAGCTAATGATCTCGAGCTAGTTGATGACCTTGAGCTAACGGATGATCTCGAGCTAGTTGATGACCTCGAGCTAGTTGTCTTTGAGCTAGGTGATGATCTCAAGCTAGTTGATGACCTTGAGCTAGTTGCTCTTGAGCTAGCTACCCTTGAGCTGGCTGCCTTTGAGCAATCTGATGACCCCAAGTTAGCTACCCTCAAGCTAGTTGCCCTCAAGCTAGCTAATGACCTCGAGCTAGTTGCCTTCAAGCTAGCTGATGACCTCGAGCTAACTGATCTTGAGCTAGCTAATGACCTCGAGCTAGCTAATGGTCTTGAGCTAGCTGATGACCTCCAGCTAGCTGCCCTCGAGCTAACTGATGACCTTGAGCTAGCTGCCCTCGAACTAGCAGCACTCGAGCTAGCTACCCTCAAGTTAGTTGCCCTCGAGTTAGCTAATGACCTCGAGCTAGCTAATGACCTTGAGCTAGCAATGACCTTGAGCTAGCTGCCTGCAAGTTAGTTGCCCTTGAGGTAGCTGATGACCTTAAGCTATCTAATGACCTGAAGCTAGCTGATGACCTCGAGCTAGCCGCCCTAGAGCTAGCTGACTACTTCGAGCTAGCTAATGATCTCGAGCTAGTTGTACTCAAGCTAGTCAATGACCTTGAGTCTGATGACTAGATTCAGTCCCATGAGTTAGGACAATGAGACATTGTTCTTCTGCTCTCATACTTCACTGGAATTTTTTTGTCAAAAATACTACACAGCCTAAACTATTTGCTACCAAGGTTATACAGTCTAAGGCAGTTGGAACTTAAGTGGGTCATTTGTGCCTCTCCAATCTACCTGGAAACTTTTTCGATGTTTGTATGAGCCAATTACAGTTCTTACTAACAACTTGATATTACTAGCAACCTCAAGTTGTTAGGCTAGCGCTATATCTCCATAAAGGGAAGCATTCAAATCACTGGCTCATGAAAATCCTCCTACAAGAATAAAGGTTCGTCAATGAGGATGCAAACCATATACTGCACAGATGACAACTCCTTAAGATTACTAAAGTTTCTCGAACTAAATACTCACACAAGCGAGCAAGACCACAATTGTGCACTAGAGTAAACAATCGATGCCTTATGCACATGCAAAAGTCGTACAAACCCAACGTGCATGCTCACGCCCAAGGAAGGCAAAAGCAAAATTTGTGTGGCTAAGATTAAAAATCGTGTGTACAACTAAAGGTTAAGAGCACCGATATGAGTATGTGGCTTGTTGAAACCGAAGTAAATCGTTAGGGAGATGTCCTCAACAAAACCACTTGCGGTACAACAACCATCCAAGTAGAATACATGAGTTTTTGAAGACCGAACTTGAACTCCAAAAATTGGGGGGCTATTGTTGGGCAATAAATCCACATAGAGTGAATTCACTCCACATGTCGAATCTCTCCAACTTTGTGTCAATCCATGAGAGAATTACTTTACGGGTAAGATTTAAAATGCATTATCACCAAGCTATGTGTCACTCACTCAAAGGACTACTTCATGTGTAAGTCTCCAAAAGATTACTTCACCAGTAAGATTTCAAGCTCTGATGTTATCTAGGTCATGTGTCGCTATGCATGAAAGTTACTTCACACCTCATCTTGGCCACGTGTCGAGATGCATGAAGGTTAGTCTTTCTAGAGTAAATTCTCATTGTAAACGCATCAATAAAATAACAGTAGACGTAAGAATTGTTTCGTGCATTCGAACCACTTTAAAAATCGCTATTGTTTATTTCTCTACTTACTTTTACGCATTTACTGTTTAACATTTCATTTGTTCCACACGTAAACCTCATTGAACCCACAGGTTCAGCATCATACTTACTATTTCTTAGTCTCCTATAGGCCCTTTTCGCAGACTTCTCGAAGGCTTGCATACATCTCGTTGGTGCGAAAAACTGCATCAACAGTTTATTAGTTTTATTTAATGAATTTTATTTGTGGTTTCTGTTAATTAGTTCAATTATATGGGCTTTGATAAATTAATTTTGATTTAATTATTATATTAATTTTGATGATAACAAATAATTGATAAAGTTCAAATGAGTTGTGTAATCAGGATTATAAATATAAAAGTTCTCATATAGAGCTTTTTTTTTTTCGAAATATGGTGTCTTGGCTAGCTTATGTGCATCTCAACTAATCCTTGCAGTTGACTAATACATCATCTCACCGTCATGATCACCTGTTTAAATCTTGGGAGTTATGTGGATTTTAATTTGAGACCGTACACCTTAACCATACATCCCAATGTTTGTCCTACTGCTTGATATAGAGCATGTTCACACATATGAAAGTTAGTTTGGGCTTAACTTGGTCTATTATTGATGTAAACTAGCTTTGAATTACTAATTTGAATGATAAATATATACCTTAAGATGGGCAGGACATAGATTAGTATTTATATATAGGTTATTATGTTCTTTACCAATAAAATGTCCTTGTTCATATCTTGTATGGACAAAATCTTTTCAAAAAAAGGTTTTGTGATAAGAATAAAGTTCTTTCTATTTGATGGGTTTTTGCTCACAAATTGGTTAAATACAAGGGGTTGTAGAATTCCAATGCAATTTATATCCAAAACAAATTGAAATTGGATTTTAATTGAAAAGAAGATACTTGAATTTGGATAGTTAGTAATTGGATTATATTAATGGAAGCAAGCTACCATATAAATATATATGTCCAACCTATCTTCAAGATATGATGTTGGAATTTAATAAATAAATGAATTGATGGAACATGTATATGATGAAATTGGAAAGAATTGAAAGGAATGAATATGATGTTGCTAAAGCAGAGGTTTAGTAGGAAATAAACTTTTGGCTTATATAATGAGCCGCATTCGCTTTTCTCTATTACCAAATTTATTTCGACGCCATTGTTGTATTGTAAAACTCGAATGTTTGGTATGAAGTCCTTCGTCTTTTTCCTATCAAATACAACTTATCAGTTTCTGCATGAATATTTTTTAACGTAATGCGAATTTTTATTTTTATCTTATTTCTTTCTTCTTCTCCATCTTCATGTGACTACCATTTTCCAGTCACTCTTTTCTTTCACGTGGCCATGCTTTGTCTCTCTTATGTCTTCCTTTTACCATTACATATTTATACACTTTCATTTCCATTTTCCCATTTTCCATGGCCCAGTTCCGCCCGCCTTGTATTCTATCCACTCTTCATTTTACAGCCTACACTTCTAGATTATCAAACTCCTATCAATAATGAAGAGTTTTAATCCTATCTTCTTCACCCTTTTCCCGATGCATTAATATAGCTAAAGATTATATCTGTCAAATCTTAGAGATTGAACGCCTAAATACTCCTGTTATTTTCATCTTATCGATCTTTAATCAGACAAAAAACTTTGGAGTAGGAATGAACGTGTATTCTTTTTACTTTATTGGCCATCCCAAACCCCATTATCTAATCATTCTTAAGGTAAATTTTATCTGTTCCAAAAATGGAAAAGTGAATCTCAAAAGTTTCAATCATCTTTAAAAAAAAAAAAAAAAACTATTACTACCCTTTGGAATAATTATAAAAACCCTTTAAAATTATCAACAAAAAGATCATGATACTATCAAAAACATCCCATAAAAGTATCAAAAACATTTTGTTGATGATATGATTTACACCAACGAGAAGTACATAAGATCCGTGGTGGAATCTAAGTAGAAGTTTATATAAAACCTGTGAGTTTGATGCTAGATCGATGAATGAATAATAAATCAAATAATTAACAAGGAAAAGATTTTTAAAGTGATTCGAATGTTAAGTGCAAATCCTACATCCCAATCTAGATGAGACGGTTTAGAATAGGGTACCAAAAGATGCCCCATTAGGGTGAGAGAGTATTACATTGGTAGACTTATATATGCCTTAATCATCACATTGAGTGACACGCGGCCTGACTGACAACACATTTTTTAGACTTACATATCCAGTAATCCCAAACCCCATTATCTAATCATTCTTAAGGTAAATTTTATCTGTTCTAAAAATGGATAACTGAATCTCAAAAGTTTCAATCATCTTTAAAAAAAACTATTACGACCCTTTGGAATAATTATAAAAACCCTTTAAAATTATCAACAAGAAGATCATGATATTATCAAAAACATCCCATAAAAGTATCCAAAACATTTTGTTGATGATATGATTTACACCAACAAGAAGTACATAAGATCCGTGGTGCAATCTACATAGAACTTTATATAAAACCCGTGATTTTGATGCTAGATCGTTGGATGAATAATAAATCAAATAATTAACAAGAAAAATATTTTTAAAGTGATTCGGATGCTAAGTGCAAATCCTATGTCTCAATTTGGATGAGACGGTTTAAAATAAGGTACCAAAAGATGCCCCATTAGGGTGAGAGACTATTACATTGGTAGACTTACATATACAGTAATCATCACATAGAGTGACACACGGCCTGACTGACAACACATTTTTTAGACTTACATATGCAGTAATCCGGGTAGACTTACAAATGAAGTAACCTTCTCATAGAGTAACATCCACCCTCATTGACAATACAACGTTGGGATATGTGGCATGAGTCCATGCTCCATAGATTTACTGCAAAATATATATAGGTAATGTTAGATGTCAACAAAGAGTCTTTGTACAAAGTGATGTGGCAGTTGCCACACCACTAGCTCCACATCAATCTTTTTTTTTTTTCATAAACTAGTGAAATGACATTTATCACATCATTTTGTGTAAGGGTCTTTGTACTTTTGGCATATATATATATATAGTTTTGGAGAATGATTAAATATTTAAAATTTATCTTGAATGTATTTGAACCCTGATTAATGTTACTGGGAGCCTGAGAGCTAAAAATATGAAGCAATGAAGAAGAAACAGTGAGTGAACCACAAAGCCGAAGCCTTAGGGCATCTCCAACCCACGCCAAAATGGCATGGGTTGGTGCTCCAACCCACGCCAAAGCGCCACGCTGTTTTGGTGTAGCGCTACAGTGCTGTGGTGTGGCGCTGTAGCACCCAATAAATTTTTTTTTGTTTTTTTTTTGTTTTTGTTTTTGTTTTTGTTTTGTTAAATTAATTTGATTATTAAATTTTACACCAAAAATCACTCCAAATTTGATTATTTGTATTTAATTTAATTTGATTATTATTTATAATAATAAATTCATAACAATGATATAATTCAAAAAATGATGAAAAATTAAAAACAGAACTTTATTCAATGCAAATATTAAATTACAATAACTTAAAATAAAAATTAACACTAAATTTGAGAATGTCCGATTTCAAAATTTTCTTGCTCGACATAAACAAATCAAGGATACAGAAGCTCACCATGCTCTTCGAAATGCATTAATTGATCATTTGTGGGAAGAACATATTAATTCAGAAAATTAAATTACTATCAATATGAAATTTTATCTTTGTGTTGTTGTTGTTTTTTTTTTTTTTTTTGTATTATTTTATATTAGATGTAATATTTTTCTATATTAAATGTAATATTTATTTGATTAAATAAATGTTTAATTTTATTAAATTCTTATAATTTTTAAAATAATTATTATTTAATAAAAATATTATTCTTAATATTTAATTAATATATATATAAATAATGAGTGAAATAAATTAATTATTGATTATTATAATAAAAAAATATTTTAAAAAATATTGTAAGAAATATTTTATTTTTATATAATATTTGATATTATGGATTGGTGATAAAATAGTATTTTGGAACAAAATTTGCAACAATTGGTTGAATGGGTTTAAAGAGTGAAAATCAAACGAAGATAAACGAAGAAGAGGTTTGAAAACGACTGATGCGGTCGAGATCTTTTCTCTCATCTCTGAGATTAATGAGGAAACATCGGGCTCTGTGCCCTCTCACGTGCTGGAGTTATAGCAAGAAAGAGAGAGAGAAAGAGAACCTGTTTTTCCGTGAAACAGAGAGCTGAAAAAGGACGTTGCCCTAAAAGACGTTTAACTTTTTTACACGCCAAATTTATAACTACTGTTCTTTCCCTCTATTATATTTTACAAAATCTCAGCTACTGTCATGTCATGGTCGTAAAATTTTGTCCTCGTTAACTGTGAAAGCTTGTTCTTTTTCGGTTCGTTGCCCAGTGTTTGGTCACTTGTATCCATCTCGCTACTCGCTCAACACAAATCTCAATCTCTCTTTCTGGAGTCAAAACAAAGGCTACCCCTAATTCCTAAAGCCTTAAAAGGAACCCCTAAAGATTCAATTAAAAAATGGTTACAACAGTAGAAAAAAAGTTGGATTGGTAATGATGCAGCATCATGCAAAATGTCAAACGCTACGTTGCGATTTTTGGGAACTGAGGTTTGACACTTCCTCTCGACCGCAACCCTGTCCGTGTTTGCCTTCCTCTTTCTGTCTTCTACTTCCCAACTTCAACCTGTCATGTTCTATATTATTTGATTTGAAACTTCCCTTTAACTTTTGGTTTCAATAATGCATTCTCTTCTCTTCCCCCATTTCCATTTCTACTTGTTGTGAAAAAAAAATTAGCCTATACCCAGTAGTACGATTATAGATTCCCCTGTAAGGCAGCTGGTTGACTAACTTTATCGCTTCTAATGGCAGCATTTTAATTTATGCATCAAGCCTATTCCTATCTTTCATGCATGGATTTGAGATCTCCCACAGTAGCTTAGATTTTGAAACATTCAATCACAACCCTATTCACAAATCACCTACAGGGTTTGCATTTGTAATTTTGTATCATCCTATCGATAAGGTTCTCATTTGGATTTTGGAATCAAGTAATACTATATTAACAACATTTTCTTATAAATTTTCTTTCAGAATTCTGATGTGACAGCTCGTAATTGATCGGTTCGTAATTAATTAGTGGGATTCATACGGGACCCATTTAGGACCTGTTGTGAACTGACAAATTATGATCTGCCACGTCAGGGTTATGAGAGAAACTTTGTAAAAGAGAGATGTTGGTGTAGTATTATTCTTTGTAATTTAAACTCTTTAACACTAAGGACAAGGGCAATGAATTTAGAGTCATAAATGTACATGTCGACACAAAGTAGAAAAATTATCGTTCAAGTGATACAATAGTTAATAGAGATAGCCTGATGGTAAAAGAGTAAATAAGGATTTATTTTTGTATGATCTCTCGAGTTCGAGTCCCTACAACCCTTTATAGGGTTGACCAATCGGTAATTTTAGGGTCCTGAAAAAATAGTTAAGGTCGTGCAAACTGGTCCAAATACCCCCCAATCATTTAAAAAAAAAAAAAAAAAAAAAAAAGTAGCACAATACCAAACCTTACGAGTGGTTATGAAAGATTTCCTGTTTGGATTTGAGAAATGACATGACCTATGATAACTATCCCATTTGGTACAAAAGTGATTTAGTAAATTACCTTCGTGGTCTCAGTTAGGTTTTGTAATCAACTTAATTAGACCTATATACCTACTCGCCAAGGCAATGAAATTAAAACCTTGAAATTAACCACCGTTGTATAGTCTACTAGTAAAAGAATAAAAAGAAGTTTTATGAACTTTTGTGTTCGAGCCTTTCGAACACAAATAGAGCCTTTCGAACACAAATAGGGATAACGCCGGTCTTAGAAGATTAATTGAGATACAATATCACAATACCAAACCTGATGGGTGGGTTGTGAAATTTTCCCCTTTTGATTTGAGAGATGAGTCGCTATATGCCCAGATATAGGTATGCTAGTGACAATGGTCAAAGAAAGGGAACGTGAAAAAAAAGGCTAATAAACGAATATATTATATAAAGTAAAAACTATGAGAAGGGTGAGCTGAGTTGGAATTGAATGTTTGATATATTCTTTTTTCTCGCTATAAACGAAGCAAACCAAAAGCAAACACATCTCGATTGCAGTAGCAGATGTTATTTATAACGTTTACCAATGTTCCTGAGGAATATTAAAGTCTGAAAATGACTTCACAAGTCAAACATAACTTAAATTACGCCTTGTTATTTCCGATAAATTTGTTCAATCTGCTAAAAGTTTACCCCTTTCTTTATTAGTAATTCTCCATTAACAAGAAGAAAAGCATATTATTATTTACTTCTTAAATCAATTTATACATGTGAAAAGGTTTCCAGGTTGAAGATGAATTAAAGCCTGAGCAATGCATGTGGGGATTAATGAAAAACAATATAAAAATGGAAAAAAGTAAGTGGGTTTTGGTGCACGCTAATAGCAGGAAGGAGGCCATCAGGATCATAGTAATGGTCGTTGTTGCGAAGACGTCAAACAGGCAACGACGAAGAACAGGCCATCATCCCCAACAACACATTTACAAAACTGCAGTGCACCGCACACAAGCTCTCTATTTTGCCAGCCCCAACACATTAACGATTTACTTACCGTTAATTTATTAGCAGTAGTATTGGGTTGTACAGCTAGCGGTAATAAGTTCATCCGCACAAAGACGCATAGCTACCAGCCACCAACCCTACAGTTACTCTGCAGTTTTGTATAATTTTCTTTGTTTATGAGAGTTTCGGCGAGCTTTTATATTTTAATATGTAGTAGCTATAGAGATACATAAATAAATAAGAAAAGAGGAAAAGGGCATAGAAGATCGTGTTGGGTTGAGACTTGAGAGTTGAGCTGAGTGAGAAGAATCCCAAAGTTGCTGTCTCAATCTTCACACCGTTATCTGTTTGGATTGCCTCTCTTCTTGGCTTGTACTGGTGTGGTTGACATCTCCATCTCCATCTCCATCTCCATTTCTATCTTCTCTATGAAGACCACTACACTCTTTCCCATCAGTAATCATCAGGATTTCCATTTCTCCATTTTACTGCTACTAGTCGTACATCATCTTCATGGCTGCTTCTGGTTTGCTGGGTGGTGAAAAGGGAGGAAATGATGCACAAACGCAAGTTAATAATGGCAATAGTATTGGTCATGAAAGTCCAACAATGTCAATGACAACTGCATCTAATAGCACTGGAAGCAATTACGAGCAGTGTCGGCCTTCGGTTGATGGGAAGATGGTGAGAAAGAGAATGGCTTCTGAGATGGAAGTGCAGTTGAATGGTGATTATTACCGTAGATTTCCCAGAAGAAATAGCCCAAATTCAACCCCTAATGCCACCCCGCTTCTCAACTACTCCACTATCAATAATATGAATATGAATATGCTGCTACCTTCTTCCACGAACTTGACCCATATGACGTCAGGCGGGTCTGGATTTTTATCTACCGTTACATCATCAAGAACGACAACAAACTTGAGTTGCGTCGACAACCTTTCCACTAATCAACAGCCCCAGTCCCAGCCACAGGCCCCTGCTGTTTGTGGCTTCTCCGGTCTGCCGTTGTTCCCACCTGAGAGAACTCGAAACTCGTCTATCAGCGGCTTGATCCCGGCCACCACTACTTGTGTTACTACTGTTACTTCGCCTTCCATGGAAGATAGTTCAGCCACGGCTTGGATCGATGGCATCATAAAGGACCTAATCCATAACTCCACCAACGTCTCCATTCCTCAACTAATCCACAATGTGAGGGAGATCATTTTCCCTTGCAATCCCAACCTCGCTGCGCTCCTCGAGTACAGGCTCCGCTCTCTTACTGAACCTTTGGAGAGAAGGCCTGTGCATCTGCAGCAAAGGCAGTATAATAACATCCATCATCAACCTTCTTCCGCCCTTTCGCTCAATCTCGACTGCGCCCTCGACAACCTCCCTACTTATTCTCTACCGGATTCATCCTACTTGAACTGGGGATTAACACAACTGCCTGCCGCCCCTACAACTCAGCAAAATCCCCAACATCATCATCAGTCTGTTACGGCTGCTCCTCATTCATTGAATCAGGTGCAACCTCAACCTCAACCTCAGCCTCAGGAACAACAACAACAACAACAACAACAAGGAAACGAGAACTCTTCACCAGTGGAGACCGTTGCAACACCTACGCCAACAACAGCACCAACCCCAACACCAACGGCTTGTGCAATAAGAGATAAAAAAGAAGAAATACGGCAACAACAGCGAGACGAAGAAGGTCTGCACCTGCTGACCCTGCTCTTGCAGTGCGCGGAGGCTGTTTCGGCTGATAACTTTGAAGAAGCAAACAAGATGCTGCTGGAGATTTCTCAGCTCTCCACGCCATATGGGACTTCTGCACAGCGGGTGGCTGCATACTTCTCAGAAGCAATGTCCGCACGGCTCGTAAGCTCGTGCCTGGGAATATACGCGGCGTTGCCTTCGTTGCCCCAAACTCATACCCAGAAAATGGTATCGGCGTTCCAGGTGTTCAATGGTATTAGCCCTTTTGTCAAGTTCTCTCATTTCACGGCCAATCAGGCCATACAGGAAGCGTTCGAGAGGGAGGAGAGGGTGCACATCATAGATCTAGACATCATGCAAGGCCTTCAGTGGCCTGGTCTCTTTCACATCCTAGCTTCTAGGCCTGGAGGGCCCCCTTACGTGCGCCTCACCGGGTTAGGCACCTCTATGGAGGCTCTAGAGGCCACCGGCAAGCGTCTTTCTGATTTCGCTGAGAAGCTGGGCCTTCCCTTCGAGTTCTACCCTGTTGCGGATAAGGTTGGGAACTTGGATCCTGAAAAACTCAACGTCAGCAAGAGGGAAGCCGTCGCAGTCCACTGGTTGCAGCATTCCCTCTACGATGTCACTGGTTCTGACACTAATACGCTGTGGCTTCTGCAAAGGTAATTAATTCCTGCTTTTTCCCATGTCATAAATATGCCTGGAAATTAATACCAATTTATGGAGTGTGTTTCATTTTTCAAAATTCAAACCACGGCATTGCATTTCAGATAGCAAATACCTATGAATCTTTGCAGCTTGAGGTGGGATATTAGGAATTTTGTTATGTTTTGATCTGATTGATTATTATTTGTGATATAATATTTGATTTTTCCCTTGCCCAATTACTGACGTGCATGCATGATGGTGGATGTATAAAATGGAAAAATTTCAGATTGGCACCAAAAGTGGTGACGGTAGTGGAGCAGGACCTCAGCCCCGCTGGATCATTCTTGGGGAGGTTTGTGGAGGCTATTCATTACTATTCAGCTTTGTTTGACTCGTTAGGGGCGAGCTACGGCGAGGAGAGCGAAGAGAGGCACGTGGTGGAGCAGCAGTTGCTATCGATGGAGATACGCAACGTGCTAGCTGTGGGAGGCCCCTCTAGGAGTGGTGATATTAAGTTTCATAATTGGAGGGAGAAGCTTCAGCAGTCGGGGTTCAAGGGTATCTCTCTGGCCGGAAATGCCGCCACTCAGGCCACCCTGCTCCTCGGCATGTTCCCTTCCGATGGTTACACCTTAGTCGAGGACAATGGCACCCTCAAGCTCGGTTGGAAAGACCTTTGCTTGCTCACTGCCTCCGCATGGAGGCCCTTTCATGCTAGTGCAGTCACTACTACCGCACATCGCTATTCACGTTAGTTCCGTCACTCCAATTTCATATCATCATATCAACCAAACTTGGATTTGATTGTCTCAAATTATATATGTCCTCTCGCCTTCCCTTCCCTTCCCGGGTGTTTTTATATATTTCGATCTTCTTTTTGTGTTACTTTGCGCTGCATAAGGTGTTATACATGTCAATCTTCTTTTTGTGTTACTTGCCACTGCATAAGGTGTTATATATGTCAATCTTCTTTTTGTGTTACTTTGTGCTGCATGAAATCGGAAATGGCCAAATAAAAATCTTCCCATGTGATCATTTTTTTTATAAAGGAATTGGGATCTGTTTAAGCTGCCACAAAAAGTTTTTTTTTGGGGTCCTACTTGCCTGCTTCTGACCCAACAAGTGGTTAGAAAATTAATTGAAATGAGGCTTGAGACTCTAAGATGCAAGAAAAGCTTTATTGTGATTACAAATTTACTTCTAAATGATTAGATTACAAATGTTATAAGTGATATATTAATCGGTAAGTCACAAATGTTATAACTGACCACTTTGTAAAACTCGAACATAAACTCTCTAAATAACCCAGCTAAATGATTAAATTCTTGCCGTCTATTTTATTATGTGATTAAAGATAAGAGTTAACTCTTACAAATTTCTGTAGCTAAGTTTTTACCAAGGGGAAATGTATCACGTTTTGTCCAGCTAAAGAGGAACATATATACAAAATCATTCACAAACAATTTTGTTGATGCTGCGTACAATGGCATCCTAGGTGTCCTAGTAATGGACTAGCCACAATGCTGGCAAAGTACCCCAATCAAACTGCTATGTCTTGAATTGATGGAAAAAAGAATAAAATAAAAATAGGAATATATATATATATATATATATATATTAGATTTTGCATATAATGAAATTTAATTCAAACAAATGGGTATTCCAAAAAGGGACGGGAATACTCGCTTCTTGAATGAGCAAATCATTTACATTATGAATGACTATAAGATCTCCTTTAATGAACAATCACACAATCTTCTCAACCAACAGAATTATTTTCTCAAGGTTTTCCCTCTTCATTCTAATTCAATTTACCAAAAGATGCAGAGAATGAAGCTCTTATCATCACTCCCCGCCTTTGTCAAACAAATAGTAGCAATATAAACCTACAATCTTCCTTTCCGAGCAACTGTAGCCACCTCCAGGGAAACCTCTTCCGCTTTTCGGAAAGGTAAATCCTTTTGTTTACCAAAAAAAATCAAAAATTATCAGTTCACCATATTGGCCATGGTTGTCAGCTTCTTTGTTACCCAATAACCTTTGGTAAATCGAGCTGAATGGAAATGCTCAGCACCCAGAAAAAGAAATCCATACATTCAAGCTTTCTTGAGCCCTAAGTTTTCCAGGGATATTAGCTGTAACCTGCACCACCAAACTCATTACGGATGTATATTGCATTCACTCAAAAATTGATCTTCTTGATTCAAAAACTTCTTCCAGTGTCGTTTGTATCTCGGAATTCCCAGGTCCAGCCAAGGTTTCATGTTTCCATTATAATGCAGCACTGCAGCTTTCTTAATGGTTTGGATATCAAGCCCATAATTGTGACCAAGTCCTGATAACGCCCATACACCATCAAGAGCATAAATTAGGTCCTGAAAGGTGAGCAAACTTGCGCGCAAAGAAGCAGCTTCAATTGATTCCTCACCAACGCTCACCTGCTAAAATATTAGGAATAAAGCTAAAAAGTCAGAACATTTGGTTTAGAACATAATAATAGCCTTCACAACTCTCTAAATTATTAACTTGAATGACCGAAATCCTTTCATAGAAGTTACTGCTCCTTGTGTACATCTAAAAAAAAGGCTAGTTGATTGAGTCAGATTCAACTGTTACTGATGACCGAATACATAAAAGCAATACAAGTTTATTGTTGCAAATAAAAAGAATATGATCAAATTCAATAGCATCACCAAAACATGATTCTATTAACAGCCTTAACTGCAATGAAAATATAGTTTAGCAAAATAAATGTCACTCACCTCTCTTGCCAACTTCCTGTAACTTTTAGTGAGATCCAGCTCTCTCCACCTTGCCAGATCAAGTATATTCAATCCAGACATCCAAGCACAAATTTTTTTATCAAAATTATTTTCACCCATATAACTCTTCAGCAGACCCAACGTCACCGAGCAGAATTGCACAGCACCATTTACTTTACCTCCCATGTCGAGGTTCCATAGTGCTGACAAGTCTTTCTGTACAACAATATCATCATCCAGAACCACAACTTTCTTTAAACTCGGAAATATCTCAGGTAGAAGATAGTGCACATCAGAAAAAATTGATAGGTACTGTGTTCTATCTTGGGTTGATGAATCATCAAAATTGTGGAAAGAGACTCGAAACTCCACAGGCAATAACATATGTGAAAGAGTTGCTTTATCATGGTAGTCCAGGCTAAACTTTTCCATGTTCACCACTTGAACAGTGGCTTCTTTAAAAGAGTTTCTGAAGAACCATAGTTTCATTGCAAAGTAATTCTGTTCATCAGTCAGCACATGAAAAACCTGACTCTTACTCTCCTGAAACATTACAGGATAAAAGGGTAAGCATCTTTACCAAAAAATATACATATTGAAAATCAAATGTGGAGATGGGAATATTTGCAAACATACTTCTGAATGCATAACTGTTGAGTTTATTACAACTGATGATGCGAGTACATTATTGGAGAATATAACATAGTGATGCAATAAGGGATCTGAATATTTATTGGCCTGAGAAGGCTCCATATCCAGAGAAGTAGATTTGAAATATTCCACAGTTAGTTTCATAGATAAACAGTGAAGACTCTTTGGCATGGTTTGGACCGCTAGTTGGTAAAGGAATGCACTCTGCTTCATGTGGAAGTTAGCTTCATCCTCAGTTAAGTCAAATATTTGCCTCAGTTTCTTGTCAACATTATTACAATCCACAGGGAATGATTTAGCTTTGACTATTGCTGCTTCCATCTTCTGTGACTTCTTTCCAATCCTATTAAAATATTCAAATTGAACTTAGTGAGTCTGCAAGTAATATGAAGATTCCTCTGTTTAAAATATACAACACTCCCCTAAAATAAATGCTCACATGCCATTGAAAATGAGCTTAATGTGTCTAGACAATGTTGACCATTCTGCCATCTAAGCACACAAACAAGATGCAAACACAACAGGTAGCCAGAATTTCAGAACATATTAAGCATGTCTGCCTAACTGAGAAAATGCTTTTACATACGCAGTGAATACAATCAGAAAACTTAAAGAGCCAAGTATGATTTATCCTGGATTTGTAATTCCAGCATCTTTAAGATCGATGAAACCACCATGCCCAAACAAAGAACAACGAATAATGTTAGAAAATCAAACAAATGCAAAAAGAACAATGGATGATATATATTTTGTTGATAATCTGCTATGCAAAGATTATGAAAACCAATATAAGGACTCCCTATATACAAGAACAAACTAATTGTCACGAATAAAGCAAATGCATTCTGTGGAAAGGGATGCCACAAGATGAAATAGAGCTTTTATATTTACAAGATCAATCAAGGGAATGTGACATAGGTGCTCATCATATGGAAGGTAGAGGCATCATGAAAACCTGCCACAACTTACTCTGGTGGAAGATCAGGATCTGTAGCACTTTCACTAAGAAGACGCTCCAATTCTTGAATATTCTGTCTCAATTCACGAGTCAATTTACTCTGTGATGGAAGTTTTGCAATACTAGGATAGTATGCTCTGGCCACGAAGAGCTGGTCCTTCAATTTCTTTACCATAGAATCCTTCATGTCTTCTCTATGTTCTTTACGCCAAAGGCAGTAGCTCCCAAATTTCAATTCACAATTTTCATTTTCATCTATACCACCTTTGACATATTCAGTACCTTCAACTTTAGCAACATTGTTGGTACCCTGCACGGAAGATTTGGTTATGTAGAGGCTTTACAAGCACTAGAAAACTACATAGCATGGTAACAAAAAAGCACACATACACTCGCATTGGGAGGTGGTTGCGGGACAGCGTGAGGTTCAACTGACGTACCTGTTAATCAATTAAGAGAAGAAACAAAACAAAGCATTCTAATTGACATCATATAAGATGGTACAAAAATTAACAACATTCCAAGAAAATAAGCTCAGCACCTTTTTTGTGCTGACTACTATGCACAGCATTCCTATCAGTGGTTTGATTTTCAGTTCCATTAGTAAATTTTGTAGGCACATCCTGACAATAAAATATAAGATGAAAGGGGAAAGGGGTAAAAAATATATACAGTAAGAAATATAGTAAACTTAAATATGATTTTTGGACTCAACATAAACGTGTGTATTATATTCTTCAGAAAAGAGATGACTAATTCAAAGATTTTCAATAACAAAACACCTATATATGATTTGTTGTCATTGAATGTAGCTAGATATGACAGTCAAGAGTCTTAGAAAGAAGCTACTAGGGGTGTTTAAAAAAATGCAACAACCGAACCGAACCAATAACCGGACCGAAAAAACGGTTCGGTTACGGTTCGAAAAATTCAAAGAACCGGATTTCCGGTTCAGGAAAAAAATAAAAAGCGGTTAAACAAAACCGGTTTTTTGAACCGGTTTTACAAATATATATATGTATGAATGTTTAATTTTTATTTGGATATGTATTGTTTATATTTACAATTTAATTTAAGAAAAAAATAAAAAAAAATTTTATAAAAAAAAGGATAACCGGTATTTCAGTTAACCGAAATACCGATTTTCCCTCCAAACCGGTTCGGTTTCGCTTCGGGAATTTTTCCGAACCAAAAAACCGGTTCGGTTAAAAAAAGACACCCCTAGAAGCTGCGAAAAAAGTTATTGGGTCCTATCATGTTCTCATAAACAGTTCTTAAAGCATATACTACTTTCAGAAAGGGGAAATTTTTTCTTTCACAGAAAAAAGAAAGAACACAAATCATGGGATTTTAAGATCTAAAGTTACTATAAAATGAACCTTAAAATATTAGTCACACTACACAAGTATTACATGACTCCCTACAGAAGTGAAATGAAGTCAGCAATTTCTGATTAAATATTTCAAGCTAGATTTTGACTAAAGACATATGTACTGTGTATTTTTCACATGTACCTTAGATTAAATCCTAACAAACTAAATATGACAGCAAGAGATAATAAAAAATGTTAATAACTTTTCTTTTCTTAGCTCGTTGTTCAGCATATATTGCATAGATTTAGACAGATCCTTTTGGTGGACAGTTTGTTCACTCTTTTATAATCATTCTTTTCACTCAATGCTATTTTAATTTTCTTGTTGCAAGGGTTCAGAGAAATGTCTCTTTACATTTGAACAAGAATGTCAAGTGATATGAATTTTAGCATTGAACAGAGAATATCAGAATGCTGAAGAAGCTTTTAACCAGCTCATAGTTCAGCCTCAAAAAGTTGATTCCACAGCTCAAAGGGTATTATGAAATTATTGATAAAAAAGAGTTTAACTTAAAGTGAAGCATGGATAGTGAGTAATTGTACACCAGGCTAACTACGCCCAGCATGTTACAGATTTGGTGGAAGCCTGGAAGCACAGCCCACTTGTGGCCCAACTGTGCTATCCATGGGGCAGGTTGTGTTAGGCCATGATAAACAAGCAAGGCATGGCAATGCCAGTCCAGCATCCTAGGGGCAAACCAAATTAAAAACCAGAATTAGATAAATAATAATTGGGGCCAGAAGGCCCAGGCGTGTATGTCTATCGTTGCCTTCTTGGTTTCAAACTAAGAAGGGCCTGGACTCTTTTAAATATTAAAAGAATTTAAGCTAGATTCTATCCGACAAAGTAGCCATTAGGATACAGGGTAGCATAAAAGCATATAAAATATCTATTTTGAGCAACTGAAATATCAGCAAGCCATTTTGGATGCTAGTTTTCTGGTTCTTTAAGAGATCTAAAATTAACTGATTGTTTTACCCCTTTAACAGCCAGTAAGGGGGATAAAATGGCGAATAAAGATAGTTGAGCAGTTGTCAGCCAAAATGGAATGCACACCAATTTAGTGATGCAACTCACTCTCACGGTCTCACCCATTTTTTGTAATCACAAATTATCAATTTGTACAATTTAGTAAATATAAATATGGTGAATAGTGTATCCAAATTGTTTTCTTCGTTGAGTAATTATCTGTCAAGACTACATGAGAAAACAAATTGACCCATATATATTTCCAACTTATATGGTGTCATTCCAATAAGCAAAGCACAAGATGTGGGTTCACATTGGAAGCAGTGAGAGGGCCAGCACTCTTGCCTTCTCATTTGGGTGAATCTTGTAATCTTTTTCAAATCATATTCCTATTACATCATTTAACAATTTTTTTATTTTCCCTTTCTATTTAGGTTTCTCTCCTTCCAAAAAATTCTAGAATTATCATAAGCCGTATCTAGTTCTAAACTACTAAGTACAGCTAGGTACACCTATGACATAGCTCCTCAGAGATATTCGGTAGAATGGTCCCTGCTCAAGGATGAAAATACGAATGTAGTTGGGGTTCTATCCTGCATTTAACTCCACATGTTTATGAGGCTTTCATCTAAGACAAATGTATTTTGATATTTTCCAGAAATTACTGTTCAGAATTTTCTAATCTTAAGTATTTTTATTCTTTTAAAAAAAATTATTACTTTCCGTAAGTTACAATACAAGCAGTCTCAAGTTTCACACTTATCAAAGACAATGGTGAGATGTAAGATTATGTGAAAGAATATAATACAAGAAACACATCTTTATCCACTAAAGTCTCACACAGTTTAAAGAAAATCAAGTGCAGGGATTGCTATCTGATTGTTCATCAACAAGAAATCAATTAAAAACTGCCTAAGCCTTATCAATATCAATGATAAAATTAAATGCAATACAACAAAATATCAATTATTTAACAGAAACAGAAGTTAAGTATTGACCCCAAGAGCATAATGCAATGAACCTTTGAAAACTTCGGTGCTAGTTTTGTCACTATGTCATTAATATGGTCTGATCGATCATTCTGCAAAAACAATCAAAAGAAAATCCATCATAGGACTACCATCTATTCTATCATACAATCAGAATAAATTATGAACATCTTATTTCACATAATTAATAACTAGGAAATAATAACGTTGAAGTAGTCATGTAAAGAACTCATTAGCAATGAAAATTTTCAAAGCATGGATGTTGTCTATAAGATCATCTGTATAGCATTAATAGATCACACGTACCTTGGGATCATTGTCTGCATTACTGATAGTGGATCTATCCTTACCACCATTCTGATATCCAATTGAAGGAGGAAAAAAAATATGAAGACATTAAAATAAGAAAAATTGCTAGAACATGTGCATCCCACAAATCCAGCAATAAAGTTAAAAAGCTCACCGAAACTGAAGAATGTTGTACAGGGACATATCCTGAGGCAAAAAGAAATTCCAATAAGACCACACATAAATGTAAAAACGAAGTCCAGAATCTAAGATCAGGAGTTCCACCTGCTAATTGCCGGGGACGTTAATGAGTGTATGAATTGATAAAGTATAGAATACAGGTACAAAGAGAAACAGTATGATACAGAATGATTTTTCAATAACTAAAAAGCAGAAGTATGGAGAGATCTAACGAACAAGTGCTAGTAGGCTGGAAGCGACAATCCTACTAATGAAGCAAAAGCTAATAAGGCACGATTACTACATCCTTGAATTAGAAATCAGCTGGATCTGAAGATAGAGCAGTCTAATTGTTGAAAAGAAGTAACAGATCTAAAGACAAAGAGCGCAAAGATACCGTCGGGATTGGGAGAGTGAAAGCCATTGTGAACACCAAGCAAGAAGGCCAAAGGAACAAGCATAGAAAGAATAACGAGAAAGAGAACTCCAATCACCAGGCCTCTCCATCGCCGTTTCCCCGGAACTGAAACCCCGCCCCCACCACCGCCTTTCATATCCTTTTCTCCGACTTCTTGATAGGTTTTGTTCTTATTAGGTTGGAAAAATTCAAACGTAACCGGAAATGTGATTATCTGATGGACGTATTGCGATGACCGTCGTCAACCCCACCGCAATTGCGCAATCTTCGGTCTCACACAGCCATTTCCACTTAACACTCTTAACTGAATCAGAGAACCAGTGTTTTGCACGTGGAAGATTCCCATGACCACTGGCTTTGTGCTTGTTGCGTGAAATCCACCTCCTTTGCTAACACGCGTAATAAAATCACTTGACAAATATATCCTCACCTTTCTTTGCGTTTTAAAGTTTATTGATTAACAGGTACAATATTTGTTAATATTAACTATCTTTGGGAAATGGATTATTGTTTTAAGTTTTATTAAGTGGAAGTGGATCCGACGGCCCACCTAATACCTATATGTTTGCTAAACAAAATCATCACCTGCTGGGATGAAAAATTACACATTAATCCCCGTTTGGAAGCTTTTGCTGTTAATTGTTAAAGTTCGCTTATCGATAGAAGTTCTTGATATTTTTATTTTTATGAAGGGTATGAATGACTTTCTGATTTTTACGAAAGTCCTAGTTTTTTTTTTTTTTTAATTTCCCCTTTATCTTTCTAATTTTGCNCTGCTGGGATGAAAAATTACACATTAATCCCCGTTTGGAAGCTTTTGCTGTTAATTGTTAAAGTTCGCTTATCGATAGAAGTTCTTGATATTTTTATTTTTATGAAGGGTATGAATGACTTTCTGATTTTTACGAAAGTCCTAGTTTTTTTTTTTTTTTAATTTCCCCTTTATCTTTCTAATTTTGCTCTTTCAACCCCCCCTTTTTTTATCTCTCTCTCTCTTCTCCATCTTCCCCTTTTTTTACTTTTCTTTATCGCCCTTCATTTTTTTTCTCTTCTTATTTTCCTCACCATTTCTTTCTCAAATTAGTAGCGCCAAGACTAAAGCTACCTCAAAGACTGTAATGGCATTGTGGGCTCAATTGGGACTTCAAAGATGCCATGGTGTTATAGTCTTGATGTTCTAGTGAGACTCTCGTTAGGTGTCGCGTAAGTCTGCATAGCTTATAACTACTATTCTAACAAGAATTTAAAAGGATATCATAGGTTGGGTGCGTTTGGTTTATTATTTTTGATAGGATTTTGTGAATAGTATTGGATAATTGGATAGGAGAGTATTACGAGATAAAATTTAAAAATTTATGAAAAAGGCCCCAAGGTTTGCTAATTTAATAAATACCCTAATATATTAAAATATTGTAAAATGACAAAAACACCCTTACCACCCGCAGTGCCAGATTCTGGCCACTACCGCCGGAATTTGACCGGAAAATGGAAATGGCCACACATACCTGTCGGATCTGGACTGTATTCGATCGATATGGCCTTTTTCGGCCTTATCCACCATGGATCTGGCCAGAAAATGCCAGATCTAAGGCCGGATGTGGCCTTCAACGGCCGAAAAAGGCCAAGATTTGGCCGTCGGTGACTGCCAGATCTGACCTTTTCCGGCTAGATTTGGCCATTACCGGCAATTTCTAGTGGTGTTGTGACTGTTTTGATAGATTTCGGCTACCACCGGCGGTGGTTGCCGGAATCTGACAAGTATTGGCGGGTGGGGGTGTTTTTGTTAGTTTTTAAACTTTTTTTTGGGGGGTATTTAATGAAATTAATAAAATTATAGGGTCTAAAAGTAATTAAAAAATAGACTAATATTTTGGGAATAACGTGTCAAACAACATTTGAAGAATAGGATCCAGAATATAGATAAAAACAATAAGCCAAATGCACCCATAGGTTTTCAAACATGCTAGAATGTCAAAGAGATTTACAAAATGTCGCAGAAGATTATAAAACTAAAGTGTACTAGAGATCTTCGAAAGTCTCTATATGTTGCAAAAATGGTTTAAGTTCAAGAGACAAAAGGATACTTGTAAGCAAGCATGTAATCATAGTCATATGCCAAGGAGATGACCCTAATACAAGTGAAAGATTCACAAAATATATATATATATATATATAAGACCACATGACTTGTTTGGAAAAATGTAAGGTCGTGACGAAAACCTTTGTCAGTAGCTAGTAAAGTATATTTCCTAATCTTAGAAGAAAAAAAAAAATGTTCTCTAAAGTTGGAGGAGGTAGATGGTGTATCCAACTTATAGTCCACCACCCTTGGGTGGTGGAATAAAGACTCTTAGATGTATTACTCAAGAAGTCCTGAATTTGATTCCTCTCTGTTGCTAACAAAGATAGTCATTGGAGATTTATCTAATCATTCATTTAAGGGTTCTATTCTACTTTCCATTAATTTTTCGCACTCTAGGTCTAGGACCTGATCCATGTTCTATTCTCTTCTGTTGGAACAAATCCACATGGGGTTTATTACCAAATTTTCATCTCCTTTATTGGACCTTACCCACTTTATGCCCTCTAGTTGGATCAGACCAGCATATAATTTCTTAGCAAAAATTGTAGTGGGCAAGTGGGCAGCAGTCAGCACCAAAGGCTATTCCCATATATAGCAGGCTTCCTGCCTTGTGCAACAAAATATCCATATGAAGTGAAACCAATACTTCAAAGTCCATTTCTTCTTCCTCCGTTATCCTTTAGTCCCTTTTCATTTAATTTTTACATATTCATCCTATCAAAATTTCTTTCTTTAATTTTTATATTATTTACAAAAAGATAATCATTTATAAAAAAAAAAAAAAAATTATTTAAATGGAGGAGAAAATAGAAGACATTAACTTAGTTAAATTAGTTATTAGCTTTAAAATGCAAAAACGACACAGTTTTCTTCATTTGTCGTGGTTTACGCTACCTTTGCCACGGAATATTTAATTACGAGCCGTTCTCAGTTCTTACATGCCTTTGAAAAAAGAATAAAGAAAAAAGAAATAACGAACGCCTCGTCTCGCTGAGACAGCCTGTTTCGATACTTGTCACGGGGCTAAAAAGTGAATTTACACTAAACCCCAAACCCACCCTACCCAAATCTCTTCTTATCAACGTAATTATCTAATTTAGTCAAGGAAACTACCGTCATTTTGACCTCACACGCCAAAACCGACCCCACAAGGGCCACAACAAACCACTTCACCGGACCAAACCTCCTCCTTTTCTGATTTTCAAAAATATTTCTAGATCTACAATTTAAAAAAACAAACCCTAATTTCTTTCGATCCGTCGTTTTGATTGGAATCGAGAGGTTAGAAATGGGCGATTTTAACCTCGCTTTGGTGATCGTAGCTATAGTGGTGTGTGTTCTTGTTTTCATCTTCAATGTGTATCTTCTGGTCAACTACCAGCACCCCGACGATGCCAACCAGGCGTATTTTCCAAAATTCGTCGTCGTTTTGGGACTCAGCATTGCCGCTATTTCCATACTTATGTTACCGGCTGACGTAGCCAACCGGCAGGCGTGTAGCCGCTCGATTTACAATGGCGCGTGTAATCTGACCCTGCCGATGAAGAATCTGTGGCTCGCTATTTATATTGTGGATGCCGTGCTCGTGTTCTTCGTTATCCCCTTTGCCATGTTCTACTACGAAGGCGACCAGGATAAGTCCGTACATCAATCTAGGGTTTCTTTTTTAATTATTTATCTTATGTTATTGATATTTATTAACTAATAATAATGTGTTACTTATTTATTTCATTTTTTTTTTTATTTGTTTGCAGGAGTGTTGGGAAAAGGATTAAGATTTTTTTTTTTTTTTATTTGTTTGCAGGAGTGTTGGGAAAAGGATTAAGAGCGCATTGTTGTGGGTGATAGTGACGGCAATTGTTTGTGCTCTTGTGCTTGGAATTTTGTATGGTTAGTTTTTTTTTTTTTATATGAATTTTTGGATTTGAAATTTTTCATGTTAAATTCGAATATTTGCATGTTGTGTTAGAATTTAGCGGGATTGTAATATTAGCGTAGGTGTAGATAGTGTTATTTAGCTGACTATTATTATGTGATTTTAGGAACCTCATTTAGATGAATGACTGTATTACTTAATACTATTTGGTAATTGATTGTTTGTGAAAATTTTGTTAAACTTGGTGCGATAGGATATGTGCATTGCATGCTCTATCCTGCTGTTGTCCACTTTTAGTATTTTTAAGTGCTGGTTTAAGTAGTCATTTCAAGTGCAATTAATGGCATTTTTTGCCTAGTTTTTTAAACCAGTCGTCATACATAACTCTACTCTGTTGAGGTGTTTGTTATATCTGTGGATTCTTAGACTGCAATGTCATAGTGTCAATTGCTGTATGTTTTGAACTGATATGCATTAATTAAATACATTGATATGTTGGAATTACCAGTGGCTAGCTATTATGTTTTCACTTTTCAAGTTTGTGTACATCTTTGTTGTATCTGTGTTTTGGATTATTTTCATATGCATCTTACTTGTTTTATATGCTTTGATGGTATATTAGGCCTAGTTGGGAAGGTGGACTTCACTGTTAGGCACCTATCTTCGGCCACAACTAATTTTCCAAGTACTTGGGACTTCTCTAGCAGTCAACAATGTATTGGAAGTGGTGCACATCAGGTTATGTCTCTCTCTGTCAATTTGTGATAGAACTTGTTGTTCTGTTTGTGGGGCACAGTTGTGTGTTTGCTTGTCATACTACAATAAGCAAACTTAATCTTTTCATCTCTTACAGTGTGCAGCATATACTGCAAATTCTTCATCGGAAAAAACATGGACTATGCGTACTACATTTCCAGAATATGTTGTTGCTCTTGCTACAATTGTTGGGTCTGTACTTTTTGCGGTAAGATGATTCTTTTAAACGTCTAATTTTAGATAAGTGGGAGGTTTCTTTAAATATATCTAGTGTCTTGTTAATTTCAATAATATCACCTCTAAATTATGAGGATATGCCTTGTTTGTTGTCCACAGGGATTTGATTCCCTTCAGTATATCTTATAATTTGACATTTTGCATTTGCAAGAGCTTTTGACTAACTGCTTTCCTTGCAATTGTCAGATTTTTGGTGGTGTTGGCATTGCTTGTTTGCCATTGGGACTTATCTTTTCATTCATCCGACGTCCTAAGGCTGTTATCACTCGCTCTCAGTATATCAAGGTGCTCTGATTGTATCTATATGACCTTGCAAAGTTAAATACCTTAGCTTTGACACAGTGAAGTATATTTTTATGTTATAATGGCTTATTGGTAGTTACTTTGTTTTCTAGGAAGCAACTGAACTGGGTAAGAAAGCTAAAGAATTGAAGAAAGCTGCTGATGCGCTTCATCAGGAAGAAAGAAGTGGTTCTAAGGGTAGAAAATGGAGGAAAAATGTTAAGGCAGTAGAAAAGGTATGAAATCTTAAACCCTGAATTTCACATTTGAAAGTACATTTCTTATTTGAGTGTCAGGGCTTTTGCTTGTGCTATCTGCCTCACATCCGACTTTTTAGAATCCAAGCCTCAGAGTTTTTTGGGTTTGAAGGAGCCAATTCCTTACAAGATCTTGGTTTGGGTGAAGATTTAATAAGTTGGGTTGGGTTATGCCATATTTTTTTTTTGGTTATGCCATATTTAGTGATTGAAAGTTTGGTATTCTGATTGGCTGTCTTTAATCACTATTTGTAATGATAGGTACTTATTTTATTCTGGTATAACCTTGCAGGAGTTGCTTCAGTTGGAAGAAGATGTGAAGCTTTTAGAAGAGATGTATCCACAAGGAGAAAAGGTGGTGAAAAGGACTGGCTGACTTTGCCATGTTTTTGAGTAATTGCTTTTGAAAAATTTCTGTCGCTGATAGATAATTTGTTGCATTTCTTTGGCAGGCTGAGACTTCCTGGGCCTTGACTGTTCTTGGTTACTTGGCAAAACTTGTGCTGGGAATCATAGGGTAAGTGCTGAAATTACAGTATGTGGCTCTTTACAAGGATATTGATGATTATTGTTCATCTTTTGAAGTAATATTTGTCTTTTTTTTTTTTTTTGGCATATTTGACTTAGTATGTGTGGTTTATTTTTTATGTTAATAAATTATCACAGTTCATACTTTTAGAAAAATGTGGAAGAAAGTGCATTTGGTTCAAGGTACCGATAAGCTGTCAAAGATATGAAGATGAACTGAAGTTGAAAAATAATGGAGAATTGAATATGGTGATGTGATCAAGAAGAGCCATGCTCTTACTTATAACCATCATAAATTGTTTGATTTGAATCAATGGGTTCTGTTCGAATTTGTTGAAAGTGAGTTCAGGATACAATTCACTATTCATTTCTACAGTAGATAGGAGAATTTCATCCTTCATATCTGATTTAGAAATTAGAATAGTACCTTCCCTTCTTACATGAAACTTCAGATTGTCTGCCTTTGTCCCAATGTGCAGTATTATGATGGACGGTTACCTTATTGAAATTTTGAAATTGTGAAACAACTTTCTAATGCATATCTTGGAATTCAAGTTTTGATAAAGAGTGGTTTCCAGCAGGAAATGTGCTCCTTCAATATTGAAATTTGGCTTTGTATTCATCTGTTTTAGCTCTTGCTCTGCTTCAGTTTTCTGAAAACTGGATTAGTTATCTATGATCTTTGCCTTTCTTGTTTACCAGGTTGATTGTTTCAGTGGCTTGGGTTGCTCATATTGTCATATATCTATTGATAAACCCACCTCTTCATCCTTTCCTGAATGAGGTTTTCATCAAACTGGATGATTTATGGGGTAATGTTGTATTCTTTTTTATCTTACCTCTTTATTTTCTCTTTTTAGTTGATGAACTCATTTTGGTATGTGTTTTATGTTTTTGCCAGGTCTTCTTGGTACTGCAGCTTTTGCATTCTTCTGTTTCTACCTTCTACTTGCTGTGATCGCGGGGGCAATGATGCTGGGTCTGAGATTAGTTTTCATTACGATTCATCCCATGAAGTAATGATTTTTTTTTTTTTTTTGGTGGCAGCATTTTGTTTAATTAGAGAGAATCATTAAATTCTTTGTGATGATTGCTCATCAACTAAAGGGGCTTGTTCACAGGTGGGGAGCCACACTAATGAACTCTTTTCTTTTCAATGTGGGTCTCATTCTCCTCTGTTCAATTAGGTTGGCTTCTTTGATTCTCAAATCTTCTGTTTTAATATTATGTATAGGTTGTGCTGCTTATAGTTCATCTTGTTAGTCTAGCATATGATCATGATATTATGTTGGGTAAGATTTCTGTCTTTAAAGCATAATGATCTTATGATTTCACGTTGTCTTGAGTTCTTTAACCTATTCTTTAAGCATTTCGAGTACCTTTTTTAACTACTTATGATTCTTAGTCTTTCTATTCTGAACTTTTGTTGGAAATAATATAACAAACTGGTGTTATATGTTTTTAATAGAAAGTTTTTTATTCCTGTTGTTTCTGCTGTTTAAATTTTTAGCATGAGGCAGCTTTATGTTGTGGTTTAACAAAAATCTTGTTTTCCATTCTAATCTTATTGGCTTACTTTTTTGGTTTTTGGACTTCAGTGTGATTCAGTTCTGTGCGACAGCATTTGGATACTATGCTCAAGCAACCGCTGCTCAGGAAATATTTGGCCACACATTGCAGTCTCTTCGTGGAATCAGATATTTATACAAGTGAGTTGGCAGCCTTTTTTTAGTGTTCTGTAGTCTGATCAGGCACTAATACTCTACTGACATTGTACAATGATTGTTGCATCACAGGTATAACGTGTTCCAAATTGTTTTTATTGTGCTAGCTGGGTTGACCTTCGTGTATTATGCTGCCTTTGTAAGTTTTCAACTCTTATTTTTGTTTGTGCACGATTTTTTTTGTTCTTGCATATATATTCTTTATTGGTTGAATCTTATGGTTGATCTTTGTCGTCTTCGAAAATCTCAGGGATGGAGAAGAAGAAAACCAAGTGGCAGGTTCCAACTGTCCAGTTAAGGTATGTTTTGCACGGAAGAGTATGCACCCATCGGGGAGCGCCTTATGGTCTCATTGCGGTGTTTTTCATAGTCGGACATGTATGGCCTAGTTTAGTTGTGTTGAATGATTTAGCGATGTAGGCATGTGTCATCCGAGAAAATTGGGTTGCTGCAGTTGAGACCGCTGTTGCTTCTACTTGTCTTTCTCCTTTTTGTATGTATTATTCTTTGTTTGATTTGTCATACATTTGGTTTGCTCATGTAATAGTGATATCCTCAGCAGATACGGAAACCAGAGCGTGTAGAACTTTACTTGATGTAATATATTGAGAACAAATTTTACGGTGAACCTATTTTCTCCGGAACCTGTTCCTTGTCCGAATACACTGCAATACCCGGTGGTGAAAGCTTGTCTGTTGGAAAGTTACTTTAACTATTTTCTGTACTCTGATCATTTGCCTCCTAACTTCATCTCAACCGTATCTATGTTTGTTTGATTCATCGCCTTCTAAATCTTCCAAGGAAGCACCAGGGAAGCACCAAATTCTAATTGTTTTAGAGTAATGCTACAGCTATCGAATAATGCGCATTGAATTTGTGGATCGAATGACGTGATTAATCGACGGTCAGGATTACATCACGTCATTTGGTGCACGAATTTGATACACATCCTTCAGTAACTGTATTATTTTCTACTGTTTTATGGTTAGCTGGTCATATACTTCCAAACCTCAAATGATTGTTATCGAGGAATCGAGATTTCTTGGATTGATCATAATTTTTCTCTATACAGAAAGGCCTGGAATTCCTATAGTGGTCTATTGTACTGACTGTCACCCACCAAAAGCTTAGCGGCTCTTTCATTTTACCATCGGAGTTAGTCGGAGCAACTAAACTAATACATGCATGAATTTGATTCCAGATTATATATACAAATTGATTCGATAATTTTGTATGGGAAGGTTATTACCATTATCACTATACTTTCTACATAAATAATGACAGTTTTTAGGCCATTATATTTAATCGTATTGAGATTTGAGATTCAATACAAATTGTACAATTATTTTATTTTGAAAATTACATAATTCTTTAATCCAAACTTACGTTAATTAAAAAAAAAAAAAAATGTTGGAGTTTTTGAATCTAGTTCATTTTATAAAGTTGAAAAATTCCATTTTTTTTTGTGACCGGGTTTTTAGATCAGTTTAAGTACACTTCAATTAATCTTTACATATTTAATAGGTAATGTAAGTTACAAATGTGATAGATGAGTACTGAATACTTGATGAGACTTGAATACAAGATTAGAGGGATTTTATGTACAAATTAAATATACAAAATTCTATATATAAACTGATTATAATATTTTTATTGTCATATTATTCATGTAAATTTATTGAATATTTATTTAGTTGACTCTTATCATTTATTTTATATTGCGGCAAATTGGGCATAAGAGGTTGTACATAAACTTTGTATATCTAGTATTATTTTACATAAAATGAATAATATTATGAATAGTTTTACAAATGTAAACTTAAAATAAACAGTGTGACAAATATGCATGATTACCCTTATTAAATTATATGAATTAATTTGTATGAAAAGCTTGTATACATAGGTTCGCACTTTTATTTATATGATATTTATTTTCCAGATTGATTATGTGACTCTAAATATTATTTTTCTTCGTAATATCCAAGAAGCTCAAACGATGACTGATGACAGCAACGGGAAGTGATTCAAGATGTTCAGTGACAAGATTTTCTTGAAGATTACAATAATTTCCAAAACCAAACACATTGCAGGCATTTTATGCTCTGCTTATTTGATAATATTGAACACATAGCAATAAGGGGTTGCATAAGATAATCTGCAAATATGAATAGCTTAAGCAGAGATTAATGGGGGCATATTAAGAGCTATTCCCACTGCATATGTCGTTCAACATCCATGTCAGATACGTTAATAGTGGTCTTTGCATCAGGGCCTATTGGATCATACAGTGAATCCTCTGAAAATTCAGTGGACAATGATTTCCAGTGTAGACTTGGTTCCCATTCTGCTTCTCTCAGGACCTTCAGAATTTCTTTAACTACAATCTTGCTCCCCTCCGGTGAAAAGTGGATTCCATCCCTGTACAAGAATCAGCCAACAGTCCAAGTGAAAAGCCATACTGAAGCAATCAGTTTATGCAAGACTTCATTACTTGGCATCATCGATATACATTAGAAATCAACATGTAAACAATATTTGAGATCAACGTGTGGCAGCAAATCTAGGTGCTAATTGGAACTCGTGGTATCAGAGACTATTATCGCGACGCAAATGTCACTTACGTGAAGCAAGTAGTTAACCAGTCATCTCGTTGCTGCACTGCAGTCCAAAGATCAATGCAATTCACATCCATCTCCTGGCAGAGCTGCAAACAAGCTTCTGAATATACTCGGCAGTCCTCATTTGTTCGGTTTACTTTTCCAAATTTCCCACTGGGTTTAAAGGTTAAGAAATTACTATTACAGCAGAAGTGTGCAAGAGAAACCAAGAAAAAGAAACAGAAGTAAGCATTGATGCACCTCAGGGTTTCCTTAATTTGTTGCTCGTTGATAGGAGGAGTGCTAAGAAAGATGATGCGCGTCGTTGGAGAAAGGCTCTGGTAACCAGAAAGTTGTATATCAGAATATTCATCAAGTAAAGATAGTCAAGAGGAAGAAATCTAATTTCCACCAGGCAGTGCTCAAGGGTGAACCAATTGTCTAACCCTTCAAATTATACTACAAAAGACTCACAATAAAGCTCTGAGCTAGAAAATTTAAGTCTGATTTTAAAATGAACCAGATTGTTTGCACTTGAGAATTTTCATTCTATTAACAAAGTATTGATCAAAGCTGGACTTTGCAAGATTACCTTGAGATGTAGAGCGATCTTCCTCATGTTTTCGATATACTCAGGCAAGGGAACATGGGGGCCTATGCCACTAGGGTGAGGGTGCATGGAGTCATTACCACCAAAATATACTATAACCAACGCAGGTTGTACAGAAGCTTCCTTGATTGATTGTAACATTACAACATTACATTAGATGTTAATGCCAATATGCGCAAAAGAAAAAAAAAAAAAAAAAAAGGATAAATCACACTAGAATCTGGAATCCTTTGCAAGAAAACAGAAGAGACCCCATATCAAGTTTCTGTCAAATCAGAAAGTTCATCCTTAACTCTGTTAGGGATATCATGATTCCTATGCAACTTTTAGATCAAACTAAACATGTTCTTGCTAATTAGATAGTTGAGTTGGTAAGAAAGCTATTCAGTATATATACAGTTAACCACCATTTGATCTATACACTACATAGCAGAAGAGGTCCAATTTTTTTTTTTTTTTTTTCAATAAATTAATTGATATATTTAAATAATAGATTTGACTGGACTGAAGCTTACTTAGTTGTGATAAGAAAGGGGTTTATTTTGAGTTTAGAATACCTAAATTATATTTAAATAACAAGGTTTACATAAAGGGTCTATAAATATTATGCTTTCAAAATTAAGTTCAACCAACCCCTAGGGTTTTCTGAGAAAAACTACTCTCTAATTACCTTGGGAAAAATTTGTTCTAGTACTTGTAGGCCACGCCTTGAATTCCAACCACAGTATCCTCGCAAAAGTATGTCTGCCTAACACATGAAGCTCAAAATCAGTTGTACTTCTAAGAAATGAATAGTGCTCCATCAGGTCGCAGTTAACAAAGAGAAAAAAAATGTTAAATGAAATTTATAATACTTTAAAACAGAAGTTTCTAACAGTGAAGTGATAATGGAAACCATCACTGGCTGACCTGATGATAAAAGAGCAAAAGAAGGTTCTATGAGCTCTTTAGTTCGAGTCCTCTCAAACACTAATAGGGGCGGCCACTGGGGTTCTTATCCGGTTGATAGTTTTAGGATTCCGGGAGATTAGTTAAAGTGCGTGCAAACGAATCCAAAACACCCCAGTGATTATAAAAAAAAAAAAAAAAAGTGATAATGGAAATTTTGGGATGTTATCACTAATCACTATCTACCCTCTCTGGAAAGTGCACTTCTAAAACTAGTCACACATTTATAATTAATTATTTGATGAACAAATTCCCTTATTTGATGAACAAATTCCCACTTCAATTAGAAAAAAAGTTGAAAGGTCAGTGCTACGGAACCACCACAAATTTAACTAAAAAGCAGCTGTACCTCTTTCCTTCTGTATCAAATTATGGTATGTTGGGCAGATAATGTGTTTTTAATTTCAGAAATATTTCTGGTGCATGCAATGCATCCTTACTTTGTATACAAACATGATTAATCTATAGACTTAAGTCCCAATGAAAAATAAAGAACAGTATGTCAAGAAATGTGGACTCCACCACTAACAATGGCTAAGATAAGATGACATACACAACAGTACAAAACTTGGCAGAGAAAGGAAACACAGACAATATTTGGCAATACAAACTTAAACAGACACAACAAAAGAAGCAAAACAATAAACGCAAATCTAATTTTTCCCTGTGAAAAAGTAACAAGAGTTTCGAGGATAATGCTCTCAACAGTTCTTGACAAAACCTGTCAAAAATGATTTCCATGTTTTGAATCAAAAACCATCTTTTCAATATTATTTGTATCTTATCCTGTCAGCCACAACAAGAAACTTCAAGTACAGCACAAACAGATAAGATAGAGAATCAAAAAGGGTTTATGATGATGCGGAAGTACCTTACGAGCATATATGTCGGCCAGAATTGAACCCCACCCTTCATTACTGAAACTGAGCTGCACTATGGACGACCCAAACAGCACAAACTGAGGCCTCTCCGGTCCAACCATCTTTCTCTTTAATACTTCAAACTTATTCAATTGGCAGCTCCTATTTTTATTTATTATTATTTATCGTTTGGAAGATGGAGGGCTGAGATGAGAGACAACAACACAAGACAAAATAGCAGGTGAAGCAGAATCAGTTCTGTTTGGCCAATTTATTTTAAAGTAAAAATTTGTTGGGGAGAGGGCGGTCCTTCGGCTTTTTGTGGCCATGCTTTGGTTCTCCAATATCTTTTTATATTTTAAAAATGTCACTCATCCAATCAATCATTGAATTAGGTAATTTAAATTTTTGAAAAGAATATAGAAGTAGAAAGTGATTGGTTCCAACGATGTCACGATATAAAAGTAATAATTCAACAACTCTCTTTTTTTAAACTTTTTTCAATTCACAATTAATTAGTAAAATCTATACAAAACTCATGTAAATTCTGTTATAAACTGATCAATTATAAATTACAATTAATTAGTGAGATTTATATAAAACCAATTATAAACTAATTAATTATAAACTATTACATTAAAATTGAAAAAAAAATTATAAGAGATTTTGTTATGTATTAGTAAAATTTATACAAAACCTATGTAAATTCTGCTATAAACTAATCAATTACAAACTACAATTAATTAGTAAGATTTATACAAAGACTTATATAAAACCTATTATAAACTAATCAATTGTAAACTATTACATTAAAATTGAAAAAAAAATTATAAGAGATTTTGTTATGTATTAGTAAAATTTATACAAAACCTATGTAAATTCTGCTATAAACTAATCAATTACAAACTACAATTAATTAGTAAGATTTATACAAAGACTTATATAAAACCTATTATAAACTAATCAATTGTAAACTATTACATTAAAATTGTAAAAAAAAAAAAAAAAAGAAATTTATAAGAGATGATTGTTATGTAGTATTTTTTGATAATGGAGTATCATTGAGTGGGGAGATTTGGTTGACAAAATTTTATAAGTGGAATTAATATAAACTTATAATTCTCAAGAAAAGAAAGAGAATAAATTTTCATAACTTTCTCTCAAATTCACTACTACTAGAGAAATTCACTACTATTTTTAGTTTGTTCCATGACAAACTATAGGCTATTTTATTAAATATAAAATATAGAAAACCCCTATTAGATTGTCAGATAGTAGTAAAAAAATTCTATAAACTCCTGTAAGTATTAATAGAAATAATTTGACTCATATTTGACCAATAGTTTTAAAACATTGAAGAATTAGTTTAAATACACACAAATGACCTAATATCCCTGAATAATTTAAAAAAAAAAAGAACAACATAGATGGGAAACGGATAGACAGATATACCAAGTAGAATCCAAAAAAATCCAAGTCAGCCATGAGAAACAAAAACCATATAATATTAAGGAATATAAATACAATCCGTATTTTAATGTATCAAACGTCAATTTATTGTATAATTAGGTAATATTATTAAAATTTTAGATAATAATAATCTTAAAACAAGAAGAAGATCTGAGTGGATTCGAACCAGAATCCTCTCAAAACCCCAAATCTGGAACTGTTGAGCGCTCTCACCATTTTGAGCTTACAGATCTTTACAATCACAAGCACCCAAGAAGAATTTATATTTCATTCAAACGATTTTTCACATTTCACAAAGGAAAAAGAAGCATCGAACCTCAGAGAATTATAAGAACAAGATGGCCAAATGCTGCCATTGTTACTTAATGACCATTGCAAGTTCAATAACCGGGTAAAAATTTTCATTGAAGTTCAAAGTGCCCCCACTCATGCCTAGTTTTATAAGAACACATTAACATAGTCAAAATTACGTAGAGAAAAAATGTAATAGCAAATTCTCTTAAGGCACTAACAATTTAAAAATAGGCAAATAAATATCTTAACAAGAGGTGTATCATATCTAACTTATATAAACAAAGCATATCCGAACAACATAAAAATCAAAGCTACAAGAAGGCATAACTAATGAAGGGAAGCAAATATTTACCTCTCACAATAAGTAGTATAAAATGAAATAAGATTATAAATACATGAATTAGCGAATGTGTCAAAATGCAACAGAGCAATAACAACAGTAAAACCATAGATGCGAACATAAAGTGGCTAAAATAAATCTGTTATTCATTACGAATAGAAGATCCATTAACTTGCCCCCAACAACCTTCGTATAAGAAAAACCTTCTGCTACTCCATATAGCTTTTTATTAGAAATGCCTGATGACTCAATCACAAAAGATATAACCCGCTGCCAAGGCCCCAAATAACTTCAAAATCTGAAAGATTAGAAAACTCAAAAGCTCCCAAGCAAATTGACGGATCTGTAAATGTAGTAACGTACAACTTCCCTTTTTCTCCAACACAATCCTAATGCCAGAAAATCAGCTTCCCCAGTTAATGATTTATATCTTCTATCTGAACTTTTCTTGCAGGTCCCATGCTTCCATTGACGAATCAGGAACAAAGACTTTAGGCTCGAAAAGAAATTCAGCAAATAATATGATGACACAATATAGTTGATATATGTTTCGAAAAAATAACAGTTGAAAGAGCCAGAAGCTAGCAATTTTAGAAGCTACATTTTCAAGAACCATAAACTTACACTCTCAATGATGCATAACTGTCAGCAACATTCACACAGACAATTAAGAATTTAATTGAGCTGCAATAATACCAATTTGGGCGTTTTCCATAACAATTAGTTTGTAAAAAGATGTTTTATAAGACATAATAGCTATTCAATTAGGTTTAATTTAACCAAAAGTAAATATAGTAAATTGTAGTTAGAAACTCTTAAGAAATGCAAGATGGTTCACACAACCCTATGGTGCTGTCTTTTACATTCCCATTATCAAATGACAATGGTACTGTGGTGTACTGTACCAAAGTGAACAATAAGAACCAAAATAAGATGACTTCCTTGGAGCATATTGTCAGATGACAAAATCATTAGAGAATATTGTACGATAACAAAATTGTAAGAATTTGATTGTCTTGGAGTACATAGTAAGCCGTAATGGGAGATGGTTGATATCAAAACCTCATGTTGATCGACATGCCACACTGAGACTCAACCCAAGTGAGAATGTTCAAATTGAATTAATATTTGTCATATGCCATTTTTTCCCATAATTGGACAAAGTATAAAGGTTAAAATTTGGCAGAAATTTACCTCCAAGTCTTTTGAGTAGACCACAGTTAATGCAGCAGGATCCGATCGTAGCATGTGTTCAAAACCTTAATTCCATGAGATGTTGCTTATAAATCCGACCACTCAGGTGCATCAGGAAGAATAATACTATGTGCACTAACCAATTTATACTAATCTAGGTACTAGCACTGAAAATTTGAAATTTTTTTTTTTTTTTTTTTTGAAAATTTCAAATTTACAATGTTAGTACTTGGATTAGTACAAATTGGTTAGTACACATAATAACAAGTTTATGAATCCAAACAATGTGATGTATGTGGTGCATTTGGATGGTAGTACCAAATTTGATGAAAAGAAATAGAGGCAACGAAAGCACACACACAACACACAGAGGAGAGAACCCGGGCAATCCCGTGCGAACTCCCCTCGAAACCACAAAAACAAATTTTTTATTAAGATTTGTGTGACCTGCCATGCAAGCGCACCTGTCATGGCAAAGGTCGGATGACAAAACCAGGACTCAACCCCCTACAAAAGGGCTTCTTTATCCCAGTACATCTCATGCGTCCATCATCACAGCTTCATCCCATTTCGCTCCTCATTTTAATAGATTATACAACCAAATTATCCGCTACATCACTGGCTGAAGAATGTCCATCAACCACTGCCTCCATAGAACCTCCCCATGCAGCTAAAACCTAACGGGAAAAAAAAAATAACCAACATATAAGTCCAAAAACTCTCGGACGCACCAAAAAATAATTAGAACTTAAACACTATTTAGAAAGAAAAAGATAGCGTTTCAAGCTGACATATAAGTTATCTAAACAAAGAATCTGCGACTTAAGACGAAACTGCGTCAAGACTCAAGATAATAAAGATCGTTTATCTTTTGATCAAGTCAAACTCAATCAATTAAATATCCAAAACAAGACTCGATTTAGGAAGCAAATTCAGAAGCATCATGAATAATCGAGAAATATCATTGTGTAATATACAGATCATTCTGTACAAGATAGGAGTCATGATTAGCAAATTGACTTATAATGCAAATAATCTGTGAAATCAGCCAACAAACTATTAATTAAATAAATTGTTTAACATTCTATGATAGAGAAAAAAAAAATTACCTCAAACAAATAAGGCGCAACGGCAGAAGATTTAGGAAAGTCCAGGTAAACAAAAAAGAGTCTTGACCTCTTCATCCATGAAGCATGGCGTCGATCTCAGAGATAGAATCCCTTACCGCACGATGTTTCAAAATATTATTCTCAAAAAAGAACATATTAGAATTAAGTCACAGCTGAAATAAAACCATACGTTTGATAATTATGTGCAAGAACCAGAGAATTAAGGATCTTAACAGATAACAGATTTTAACCACCTCTTTAACAGACACAAATTTCACCACCTCTGTACAAGAATTAGAGAATTAAAGATCTTTAAATTAACCAACCTTGATTGAAAATCATAAACTCAGAACCTGGTCAGAAACACAAGGGATTATGAATTCAATCTCGAGATGATGATTACTTCTGGATAAGAACGAAGAAGCCGTACCTCTCGAAGAACAAGCCATGAACATCGAATCCGAAGAGACAGAGAGAGGAAAACTTTAAGATGACCGAGTTATAAACGAAAACAAAGGATTTTATATAATGATTTCTGTCAGGCGGTTAGAGAGATGGACGGTTATGAGTTAACGATTATTTCGTAGATCGACGCCTAATATACATCTACGTGGTTGACTTGGTATCTTGTTTTGTAATTAGGCGGTGGTATTGAGATAAGGGTTAAATTAATTATTTGCTGGATTTTTGTTTGCTTTAGTCTTACGCCTTTGAGTACTTTTGAGTTTTGACTTTTTCTCTTAAATGGTTAATTTAGGATATTGGGAGTTTTGAGTCCTTAGCCATTGAGGCTTATGTAGCATAGCCCATTAAGTATTTGGGCTAAAAAAGTTAACTAACAGGCCCAGTCCACTGGCCCGTTGACTAGTTACTCCAAGTATCCAACAATAGCCCGGGCCTGATCTTAGTCTTCTAGAGCCATCGTAGCCGTTTAGAAAATGGCATCACCTACATGGGCTGAATGGGCCTAACAACGATTAAAATAGCCCGTGTAATTGGTTCTTTTAATGATATGGTTTTATCATTGATGATGTCTTTTGGTTGCATTGGTGACTGAGACGTTGGACATATCTTTTCCTTTTTTTTTTTTTTTTTGAAAATGATAGAGTTACTAAAGGGTGTGCACTGAAATTTGTGCACCGAATAACGTAACAAAATCATGATCGTCGATTAATATTAACTTATAATGAATCAACGGTTAAGATTTCGTCAAGTCATTCGGTGCACACCTTTCTATAACTGTAACATTACTCTTTTTTTTTTTTAGGGAGAACGATATTTTCCTAACCCAAGGTTTGGCAAAACAACACTTTCCCACTTTTCAAGTTTCAAAATGACACTTCCCACCCTTAGTTAGGTTTTGTTATGTTTTTCATTAATATTTTACTGAAAAGACAAAAATACCCTTAAATATTTGACTTTATACATTTTTTTATTATTTTTTAGTTAACCAAAAAGTCAAAAAAGAAAAATAGTTAGCCTCACCTAAAAAATTATGAATAATGCTATGGAATTGTTTAAAATTAAATGACCTTAATATTTATTTATTTATAATGTCATCTATATCTCATCACTATTATTAAATAATCTACTAAATTTATAATGTTTTTCATTTTTACCAATTAACATAGAAAATCAATATTCTTAATTAATTAAATAAACAAAGAAAAAAAATATATTTACACTTGAACTAATAAATAATCGAGTAAAGACTTTTATTTAACTTAATTTTAATTTATAATAAACTAATAAGAAATAAACTATTTAAATGTATTTTTGTCCTTTCGGTCAAATATTAACAAAAAAATACTAACAAAATTTAATGAATGGTGGAAAAATGTCATTTTGAAGCTTAACGGATGAAAAAGTGTCCTTTTCGCCAAACCTTGGGTGGGAAAATACCGTTCTCCCTTTGTTTAAACAAAATAATTCTTGTTCATGTAAAATTCTTACTGATGATGGACGGCTAGATAATTGATGTTATTTCAACCTTTTATTTTTCGTGTTATATGTAACTTTCCAGTTGCAGTATTACCTGCAATATGTCTGCAATATGGCAGGGTAATGCTATGGGTACTAATGGATTCTACAAACTGGTGTACTAACTTAAAGCATAGTACGGGTACCAAGTGCATAGTACGGATACTATGTGTGATTTTAATAAAGGTTAGTACATTGATTAGTAAAATCCGTTAGTACGCACAGTATTATTCCTGCAATATGTATAACTCCAAAACCCAACTTTCTCAATCTCATGGCTGTAATCAAGTATTTGTCTAGTTCTTAATCCTAGTTTTCCTTCTTCGCTTCCAATCTGCCTGTAAGTCCCTGAAACAGTAGGGTAAATCTATTCTTATAACCAACATAAAGTAATGAAATTCTCTTCTCTAGCTGCTCTAAAAATATAATGCTTCTTGAGTTCCATATGATTATTGAAATCGAAGATCATAGTATTTTGGACATGGAAATTAATAGAAAATAATGATCAAAATGATGGACATAAGGTAGAAAACAAACAATTAAAATATTAATTTGTTAATATAAGAAAATTATGGAAAATTACCAACACTTTTTATTATTAAATGTTTGATGTTGAAACTTTAAGTCAAGATTCTTTAAAAGAGAACGAAGAAACTCAAAATAAAATCTATCCAAGCTAAAGATGAGAGAGAGCCTAGATGTGGAGATTGTTTTTTGTTTTAATTGATTCAATTGAACTAAAATGATATAAGTATTAAGATAGGGTTAAATTAACTTTTTGCTTGATTTTTGTTTGCTTTGGTCTTACGCCTTAGAGTAGTTTTGACTTTGGACTTTTTCCCTTAAATGGTTAATTTAGGATATTGGGAGTTTGAGTCCTTAGCCATTAAGGCTTGCGTAGTAGAGCCCATTAAGTAGTTGGGCTTAAAAAGTTAACTAATAGGCCCAGTCTACTGGCCCGTTGATTCGTTACTCCAACAATAGCCCGGGCCCGATCATAGTCTGCTAAAGCCATCGTAGCCCGTTTAGAAAATGGCATCACCTACATGGGCTGAATGGGCCTAACAACGCAAAAAATAGCCCGTGTAATGGTATTTTTTTATCATTGATGATGTCTTTTCTTTTGTTTGCATTGGTGACTGAGACGTGGACATATCTTTACCTTTTTTTTTAAACAAAATATTTCTTTGGAATTTGGATAGCTTTCAATGTTAAAAATTTTCTGTATCATTGAATCGTTGGCAATCTCTTTCCTTCATCTCCAAAAGAGAAACTGCAATTCTCCTTTCGGTTTGTAATGGTGGAGCTATTCTTCTTCATCTTCATACATCTTCTACAAATAGCAAAGTAAGTAATTTCCTCGGGTAAGTTAAATTTCCTTTCACTAAATTTTTCAGCACCGGTTGTAGATATCTCATATCTGTAAAATCCCCTTGGGTTATCTGAGGGGAGGGGGCCAAGGTTATTTGGTGAAACCTAAGAGGAGAATTATATGAAACTCCATCAGTTTAGATACATATCTTTCCCTTTCCCATTATGACTTTTCCTTTCCATGATGGCGTAGCTATTATTCTGTAACTGCAATTGCATGAAGGGCGTCCGAGGTCGAGGAGCTAAAGAAAGTAAAGGATTGATGGCGAAGATTTGCAGAAGAGAAACTGGAGACATCTAACTAGTCAAAGATGAAAGATGATGTGGAAGGCAGGAGTAAGGTATCATCTATTTTTAAGTTGAAATCTGATTAATTGTGTTAAGTCTTAAATCTTGATATATTATGTAAAGCAAATATTTTGTTACACTAGTTATAAGGAAACAAATTAGATGTCTCAATTCAAAGATAAGTAAATAAACGCCAAACCACTTGTGCATACCCAAGGTTTATCGAAACGACAAGATGGTACTCAAAAGTTTTTGAAACGACAAACAGGTACCTTCCGTCATGTGTTGTTAGTGATTTCTGTTTGTTTATAGTGAAAAGATTAAAATACCCTTAAAAGTTTGATATTTTAGTTTTTTATAAATTTCTAAAAAACCCCATAGGTTTGCTAATTTAACTAAACACCCCTATATATAAAAAGTTTGTTATATGACAAAAACACCCCCACACTTGCAGTGCTAGATTCCGGCCACTACTGTTGGAATCTGACCAAAAATTACGTTACGACACAGACCCCATCGGATCTATGTCGTAACTCGTCGATCTGGCCTTTTCCGGCCAGATCCATGGCTGATTTGGCCGAAAAAGGCCAGATCTACGACCAGATCTGGCCGTCGACGCCGCAGATGGAGTTTTACGGCCACGACGGCCAGATCAGCACGGATCTGGCCTGAAAAGGCCAGATCTGACCGTCGAGACCGCAAACTCCATCTGCTGCCTCGACGGCCAGATCAACACATTACGACACAAATCCGACGGGTCTGTGTTGTAACGCAATTTTCCATCCAGATTCTGACAGTGGTGACCGAAATCTGGCACTGCGGGTGTGGGGGTGTTTTTGTCATTTAACAAACTTTTTATATATGGGAGTGTTTAGTTAAATTAGCAAACCTAAGGAGTTTTTTAGAAATTTTTAAATTTATAAAAAACTAAAATATCAAACTTTTAAAGGCATTTTAGTCTTTTCACTATGAACAAACAGAAATCACTAACAATACATGACGGAAGGTACCTATTTGTGGTTTCAAAACCTTTTGGATATCAATTTGTCGTTTCGACAAACCTTGGGTATACGTAAGTCGTTCGGCCGTAAATAAATAACAAAAAACTTGACAAGTAATGTTACAATTAATTACATCCCAAACGTGTACATCAAATGTTACAAAAAGTAAACAGTATAATGTCGAATTAACAAATGCCTTCAAACTTCTAGTCTGCACAAATCTCTTCCAAACATTTGTGACGAGTAACTGTCTCCATAATAAACTCAAGGCTGCTGCAAACCAATCCAATTATGTCTGCCGAAGTACCAAAAGGCATATCATTCCCATCATAAAACCAATAAATCTTGCCCTTTTTCCTCCATGTTACTTGTTCCTTTTTAGCCCGCAAAACAAGTTCAATGATGCCAAAAACCAATGTGAACGAAGATGCCACCACACCCACTAGATCATAAGTGGTGTTATTCTCAGGGGAGATCAAATCCAGTACAAGCACGAAAAGCACCAACAAAAAGTTGAAGATATAAAAGCTCCATTTTAACCAAAACTACAAGGAAAAAACAAGGAAATTATTAAGTTAATAATGAATATCCTTATAATTAAGACAATGAAACTTATATCTTTATAACTTACCAGGAGTTTAGAAGGGCTATATTTTCCATGGTTTGCCGCGGGAGTGCCACTGCCTTTCCACCTAATTTAACATCCAGGCCTTGGGATGCTTTCTTAACACCATTTCCACCTACTTCTTCCCCATCCTCTCGGGATGTTTTCTCAACACCATTTCCACCTAATTCAACATCCCCACCGTCTTGGGATGTTTTCTCAACATTCTTTGTCCCATCAAAAACCTACAACATGTGATAAATATACACTACAGCACAATAATTTTCCAAACAATATATTATACATATAAGTTGTCTTTGACTAATAAATAATTATAAATCAATAATCATTCACACAAAATATAAGAGAAGCTAACCTCGAGATAAACACAGCAAATGAAATATATTTAAAGAAATAATCAAATCAAAGTTGAGAGTAATTCTTACTTCAAGTTCACAAAGAAAATTCCTACACAACACTCAAAAAATAAAAAATCAGTAGCCTTTGATTTATAAACAATCATAATCAAACTAAATGCTAAAGAAATCAGAATCAACCATACAAAATATAAGGGAATTTAACCTAAAGATAAACATAGCAGATGAAATATATTTTAATGAAAGAATTAAGTTCAAGAGTAACTTACTTCAAAAGTTTACAAAGGATAAGCATGAGAGATACGGTATTTCGCAAAACTCTCTTTGTTGTTTTTGTAATTCGGCTCAAAAAACCTTGGATCTTTAAAACAAAGTGATTCGCCTCAACATTTTTGAGGTTGCTCAAAAATGTTGTTGAGGCTGAAAAATCAATAAGCAAGATTTCCTAACAAAGTGATTAGCAACTTTATCTTTCTCATTTTATTAATCCTCAAAACCCAATAAACAGAAAAACATTATCACCCAACCAAACCGGTTTACCCTTCTTGATGAAGAATTTGTTTCTTCATCTCCACCAAGAAATTACCAACAAGCCCTTACCATACCACCAACCTATACACCTTCCTCATCAAAACCTGTCGACATTAATCCCACTTTTCAATACATTGAGAAAAATATAACTCAATCGATTTGCATTGTTGAACCCGAATATTGGGGACAAACTATGCAAGAAACTTTATCAAAAATTTTCCCTCCAGATTTTTATTTTATTCCTGATGATTTATTAAAAACAAGAACATTTTATGAATTTATTTTAGTTGATACTGATTCAATAGAAATTACTCATAATCCTGATAGAAATGATCCCAATAGAATTGCTTTTTCAAAATGCAAAATTAAAAAGGTTTTAAGACCTCAAGACTGGCGTACTGGAATTTATCAAAGACGCCCATTTTCTCAATCCTTCATTCCCCAAGAATTTTCTTATAAAGATTATTAAAAAGTTTGGTTTCATACTTTCTGTTTAACTCATACAACACACTCTTGGTTTTTCATTTTTGACAAAACTTGTCCAAAAATATTTCCAAAATGGTTTCAACAATGGTTTAATTTTTATGGTTTAAATGAAAAAATCTTTCCACCTTCGGTCTTGGAAGGATATTACTTGTTTACAAAAAATTTCAACAACAGTGAAGACCTTTGCTAGCTTTTTCTAGCAATTTCTTAATTGCCTGGATAATTAGTTGGCAATTTCACATCACTCCTCCTCCTCCTCCAAAATTCCGAAAATTACAAAGAAAATTTCTTATTAAATGGTGGCCTAGTTTTTCTATCCAAAATATTAGTCCACCAGCAGTGCAAGTGTGGCTCTCTCAACACCCACAGTTATGTTAGCCTCAACAACAATCAACATTTTTGACTCAAAAATCAAGACTCCTTGCTGAGTTGGCTCAATGTCAAAACCCTCAAGATATGGACAAAATTATTATGGCCATTGGATCTTCAACATCTCAAAAAGCAGATTCGGATAGCACCAAATCACCAAGCGATCAAGATGAGGATGACTATTTTGTCATGTTCCAAAACCAGATCAATTATGACTTCAATAAAGGTTGATGACTCAGCATCATTTTTCAAAAGTTTCGGCGCTGACAAGATTCTTCCCCAGTCAACTTTTTCTCTTGCCAAGAAGTAAATTAGTCAAGAGTCTCTGCAAAATATCAAGACTTTAAGGCTTATACTTGTCAGAACCAAAAAGCAATTTGTCAAATTTATCTCTTCCAACATTAAAGACATCCATCAGACTTATCTTTTCCCAACGCTTACAATTGTCAAGCCCCCCCTGACACAAGCAAGATTTCTCAAGATTTACTTTATGAAGATTATCCTCTTCTCTGCCAATTTCAGAGCAGGTAATCAATAATTCAAGACACGTATCCAAGACAGCTCATCACTTATCAACAACTTTATCTTTTTCCTGTGTTGTATTAATGTAACAGATTCAAATGTTTTTGAAATCCGATCGTTTGTAGTATAAATATTGATCACTTCCGTTGTAAGCGTCAAGTTGTTTTTGAAGTCACAAAAAAAGTCATTAAGTTTTAGAAGTTTTAAGTTTTCAAACACTTTGAGAGAGAAAGTTTCCTCTCGTGTACAAATTATCAAAGCAATAAAATTGTAAGTTTCTTCAACACATTCATTGTTTTACTTGACTTAATTTACATTGCATTTATTTTCAATAGTCTTTACATTTACTTATTTTACTTGACTTTTATTTCAATATACTTTGCTTTTAATTACTTCTTTTACATTATTGGAAATAAATGCAATGTAAATTAAGTCAAGTAAAACAATCAAGAAAAACTTACAATAAGTGATGAAGACAGCCCATAATTTTGAGCCAACTCAGCAATAAATCTAATATTGGAGGGTGCGTTGGTCAGCTTGTTAACCGTTGGTTAGCCGTGTTAGGTGGTCCCGGAGGTGGTCCCGTGATCTAGGAAAGAAACTGGAACTTTTAGGTTAGCATTATTTTAGAGATGTCTAATTTCTTAAGGAGATTAGGAAGTAGCAGTAAACAAGATGATAGTAGTAGCAGTAATGCTATTAGAATTAATAATCAACAACAAAACACTAATAATCAAGAATTAATGAAATCTATTAACACTCAAGAGATTAATATGGCAAAAATAGATTAACACTTACATAACTGGAACATACCACCAGTTAAAAAAGACACAATATATCAAATAGGTAGTTTTGAATTTATGTCAGATTACTCTATTAAAACAACAGAAGATACAATAATGATAACCGAAGAAAGGGTTGAAGAAATTCAACTTCTTTCTGAAGAAGCAATACATAGACATAGACAAAACAACTATAAATTTTTACACATAGGATTAGTATAGTATCCGTAAAACCATTTTAGATTAGACAAAACATTCCAATATTAGTGATATTAAGAGACGCAAGAAATTTAAACTCCAATACTCTTCATTACAGTATTAAATAATTTAGAAAGTGTTCCGTTTATTTTGATTGTTATCCAAACTTTACAGTAGGATTAC